GAATAAGGCGTCCTCGGGAGAACGAGGCGATGATGATGATAAGTCCAGTATCGGAAAGGATAAGTCTTCATCGAATTCCTCCACTCGTCCATCTGGCATGACGGATCCCTTGTACCACTTTCTACCCCCATCCACCAGTAGCCCTCCGTTTCTCGCGATGATGGACGCTCGAGCCTCGCGAAGGTTATTGTAGCTGTTAAGGTGCTCACGAAGAATACGTATAAATAAATGATCGTCGACCCACTTTGAAATTGGGCCGATACCCTGAGAACGAAAAATGTCCGCTCCTGCATCTGCCACCTCGCCATAAGTTCCGGCGGAGGCAGTGAAGCCGAAGTAAAAACTAGAATCAATGGCGAAGTCGTCGAGTCCGGTTCTGACGACCAGTCCCGGCCATTGGGATGGATGGAGTGGGATCGTTCGATAAGCTTCGGCGACGTCGCGAACTGCGGCCTGGGAACCTGGAGGAAGAGACCATACGAGAAGACAGATGGTGGCGGCAGTGCCCCATGTGCATGGATATAAATCAGAGTCGATAGATGAATTAATAGATGATATGGTTGGGGATGGGTGCAAAGGGAATGAAAGATTTTGGACCACGCGGAACCTGCCTGGCTTACCCAGTTTCGGCACCATGGATAACGGTGCCGACTGAAATGGTCCAATAAGAGTTTCGGTTTCTGACTTAGATAGCGGGCCGATGTATCGACCAGTGGAAAATTCACGATGGAGTATGGTGGCGAAAGCAGAGTGATGTTCAATGAGAGAAGGACTATTAGAAGGAGTGTAAGTGAAAGAAATAGAAGGGATGCTTCCCATGAAGCCAAACCGTAAGCCATTGGGTATGTGCGCGTATTTATGCAGGAGGTTTGCGGACTTGAGATGCCAGAGCCATACCTCTGGGTTATACGGCGTGAGTGCTCTGGATTCTCTCTCCCTGAGGACAGTCTTGAGCGCCGTGATCCTTGGCTCCGCACCCTGAACACTCGTGTACGTGAGATTGGGAGCTGCTGGAGCATCCTCTGGGCCTTTGCCAGTCGTAGCATAGTTCGCGCCCTTCGGGATTGGTGATGTGTCCTTCGGCGTTGCGACAGCAGCGAGCTTTGGTTCGTTTGTCCCAAAGGAACTCGGACGTGCATTTGTGGATGTTGTGGCGGAATCGACCAAGGCATAGAGCACAGGCGGCTGGTCCGGACTGGCCTGTGCTCGACGGAAAAGACTGCTGGTTGTTTGATGGCTTCCTGCTGGACTGACCTGCAGCGGGTGTGCGGTATGGGTGGTAGCGATTGTCCAAGGTAGGAGGAGAAGGTTCTTTCCCTCTGCTTGAGTTCACTTCACGACCATGGGATCGAGCGTGGATGTTTGGTGCAGCAATGGAATTCTGCAGCTGGTGGATGATGAAGTCGGGTAGCGAAGTGCGTGAAAGAATGCGATAACGGTGGGAGCGAGCAGCATGATAAGCAAGTTTGTTGATGGCGAAGAAGCCGGAAGCAAGAAGGTTCCAAAAGGATAGCGTAATGGGCGGCAGCATGGAAGAAGGAAGCGAGCGTGGTGATGAACACGCGCAGATGGGAGCATGGAAGAAAAGAAGGCATGAATTTGTTAGTCATGAAGTGATGACTCTGCAGAAGTATATACCAATTTGATGCTCTCATCACGTTCCGCTTCCCAGACGTCATCCGAGAGGGTGTTGTACAGAGCGCTGTTGAAAATCCCGATGTTGAAGCCTTGGTTTTGAGCCAGACGGTCATGCCATTCCCATCTGACGAACCCTGCGTAACGAAGTAAAGTCTTCTCGCCACGAGTTCGCATTCGGTGCTCGTGGTTGGTAATGAGAGTGAAGAAGAGCGCTAAGGCTTGCTGGTGCTTGTCTGGCCAGCCACATTTGTCGATATGGATCAAGAAGCTCGTTTTTGCCATGTTGAATTGACGCCAAGATAGGTCATGGTCTTGTAGCGCTTTCTGCGAAGCCTTGAATGATGCCATCGGCTTGAACGCGACGTACCCATCAACCTTTGCCAGGCCAAAGGAGTCCTCCGCCGTGGACCTGCAACTGTCTAAAGCTTCCCGGCACCCTTCTGGACTGAAGTACCACAGCTCGACATATTCCATGCTTTTGATCTTCTGCAGTGCATACTGCGAAGGGCGAGGAATAAGAACGTCTGCCACGACGGCTTCGGCATCGAAGTCGTTGATCTTGGGCTTCTTCTTCTCTGCTTCTCGCTGTTCTTCAGCCGCTTCGGCTTCTTTCGCAATGCGTTCTTGATCTTCTTGCTCTTGCTGGACTCGAAGATCTTCTTCAGATTGCTGCTGCCATAGAACGATGCGTTCTTGGCGCTCCAGCCTCCAACTCTCTGCCATTTGCTCCAGGGCCGCCTCTCTGGTAGGTCCTCCTGCAACGATAGCATTGAGCCAAGCCGCGTAAGCTGGGAACTCGAAGTTCGGCTGCGCTTCGAGCGCTGGGTCAGCCAGTATGCGGTTCATGTGCGATTGGTGTGAATCGGAAGGTTGCTTGGATTAGTTTATCTGTAAAGTACAGCGACCTAAGAGAAAGTAGAAATCAATAGCTGATGATAAAGAAAAGAAAAGGATGAGATACGAAGTCGTTGAGGACGACTAGGCTGAAAACACGAGGACGTCGCAGTACGAAAGAAAGAGTTCGTACTGCATCCGTCGCTTGCGCAAAGACTACATTCTATTCCTCCGCTCGTTCCTCGTTACGTAATAGAATAATCAAATTCTGTACACAATGCACAGCTTGCCGCCTGTGTGAAGCTTGTGCGATGACAAAGCAAATTTATCAGAGTCACGGACACAGACTCGAACCGACTTGAAGCTGTGGGAACAGCTAGTTTTTGTATCATTGGTATGTTTGAGATTCTTTTATTCACCAAATTCATTAGCCTGACGGAACCTAGTGCCCTCAAACGTTTACAGGTTCGTTTGATTACATAATTCACAACATGATACAGTCTAATCTGACATTCTGAAGTGGTGTTCGATACTGGTAGCTCAGACCGAGTTTTCTCAGAAGTATATTCCTCCATCTCCGCGCTGACAGTGAATTTCCTTCCATCTACCGAATGTCTTGTCAACTGTGTTGGGCATGCGCGACACGACCCTGCTGCATCCTCGTATGCAAAATATTCTGGCCAGTCGCTCGTGCTCATGTACGGCGCTGGGGAAACAGCAGGCGAGGAGTACGTCGATGACGTTTTTGTTGGAGGTTGCGAAGTTAGTTGTCCTACATGTTCATTTTCTCTCCATTAATCTGGTACATCACGTCGGGGATCAGATCATTGGCGCCGCCTGGGCATATTCGCTAAATTTCAGTAGGGACAGGTCTTTCCTCCCTCTTTCCGGTCTGGTATTCTACGAAACTGCGAAATATAAGAGTTAGAAGGAAGTCCATTCTTTCAAACACTAGACGAAAGTGGCAAGCTGCCGCAAAGCGTCATTGGGGTCAAGCTGCCTACTACTTTCGGAGATAGTGAAATGACCATCGTAGGAGCAAATACAAATATCAACCGCTCCGACACCATTCACTCATGTCCCTGTGACGGATTCAGGCCATTGGCAGGTAGAAATACCATTCCGAGGTTGGGACAGGATGTCATTGAGTCGCAAGTCACTCCTGTCATCATTGATACCAGGTCATCACATCCTATTCAATTGCATAAAGTTACTGCGCGAACATATCTGGAGCTACGGTCCACACCGAGGGCGGATACATGCTGGACAAGTAAGCTTGTTATTTATATTTTTCGATCTTCAATTTGATCAACGTTTGTATCTGTGCAGATGTGTAACCCCGGGTCAGACAGTCTTTCCAGCAACTGCTTAACTGGGATCGCTGCGTCTTTAGAAATGCACGCGCACAGCCTATGGTATCTTTGCCATGATGATGTTACTCATACTTACACACTAATTGTCGGCGACGTCTTTCTTCAGAACGTATGTTCGGTGTTTGATTACGCAAACACGAGGGTATGATTTGTAGAACTTGCTTGATGTAACCCGTGGATGCATCGATTAATACCCGAAGTACATATATACCTCTTCGTACTACGAACTTTGACTGTTATGCGTACTAGTAGCCTAGATGGGCTGTGACATCCTGCTACCATGATTCAAGTTGCAGCGGATGTCGACATTGAACGAACATGTGCCGTAGGGCCCGGAGCGGTATGTACTTTATACATCTTGCGCAGCTGATTTTTCTGGACAGCTCAATAAACATGCATGCCAATGTCCCCGGTGTTAGAACGACTTTCTAAAGAGCACCTGCGTACTCCAAGCGCACTCTGTCCCTGACTTTACAGGTTTATGTAATCACGCGCCTCTTGTTCATCTGAAATGGCTACAACCATCGATATTCGCTCTGCTGGAATCTGGGGGAGTTCAGGGAACACGAATGTTGAACTCCCCCAGATCCCCATGGTAGCAACATATAGAATCAATGAAGGCAAGGCTGTCACGGATCTCAACAACGAAAACACTGCACACAATGCAGCGAAGTTAGTGCACGGACTAGAACCCCTCAAACTTCAAGTTAGTACGTTCAACACTCGAGTTCCAGCTCGTGTGGTAAATATTTTGCACCACTGACAATTCACTGTTCAGGTGTACTAATTCCGGAGCTCACTATTGCACATGTTGAAAAACCGCGCCCACATGCTGCATGCAATTGATGGGTGAATTCTCCTTGTGTTTTGGCGGCAACCCATTGTTCATTAATCCCAATCAGAGCTGTCGAAGCTGGCGACATCCCAGCTGCATTGGACGAATTCCGAAGAGTGCACAACAATCATTGTAATGCTACAACAGACCCAGGCAACAGAGAATAGAACGATACGACAAAACCAGGCAATGATTGATGTTCAACTGGCGTACAACATTCGTGCATGTATAAGATAGAATACATCATACGAGTACTTGTTGTGCGTGGTATAGGCAGCGCAGTGACACGACAACAGAACATGGCAGCAGGTCAACCGAAGTCAGCTCACAATACATGCCCATCCCTTTTCACTTTGTTTTCCTTCTTGTGTACTTTCCGATTCTTTCCCCTCTCCTTCTTCACTTCGCTTCGTTTCATTTACATTCCCTCCACCTCTTACATCTACACCTTGACCATCCCCTCTCGTTTCTTCATCTTCAGTTTCATCACCCCCTGCTGCTCCCTCACTGTCAATCTCACTTTCACCTTCATCATCTTCCGATCCTTGACCTCCACTTGGATCGCCCGCTCCTTCGCCTTTCCCACTCCTCATGTTCTTAGTGGCGGTAATTATTGAAACCCGAAACTCGTCGAGTAAATCACCCATCTTTAAATATAGAACGCACCGTTCAGGATGATCAACTGAGTACATGATGACGATTGGAAATACCCTGTATAACTCTCCATTGGCACATTTCAATACAATACCACGGCGAAATGCTTGTGCTCCTGCCCATTCACCTTCTTCTATCACTTCTGGTCTATCTGTACTATCGCCAGCATCATCCACAATCTTATTAACCTGCCAGCGCCAGTTATTTGGCGTCCATGCGAGAAGCTCTTCTGCTCGCTTCTGAAAAAGCTTGTCGGAAGCTCTTGCATACTTCAATAACTCATATTCGCCATCACCATACCCCTGCGCACGAAGTGCTGCCCATGCGACATTCATAGCCAAGACTGAATGATGCCGATTCGGAACGGCATCCAGGATCACGATGTACTTCACTGGGAAGTTCTTGAAGCGGAAGAACCAGCCTTTATTTTTTCCACTTTTCAATATTTGAAGATATCCGAGGAATGGGTGATTTCGTACGCCTGGCATCTCACAATGAGTGCCATACAGTACATCGACCGCAGATCTTGAGACCGTCCACTTGCCAGAGCCTGTTGGCCGATTTGCAGAGAGCGCTGGGGGAGCTTCAAATTCCCGAGATCGCATCATTGGTAAGGCGTCTGTGGGGAAAACTTCGACGTCGCGCCCGGGGTCCGTCTCAGAACGTGTTACTACCTGGAAGAGGTCGGGTCGTGCGCGAAGCTCTCGTAGAAAAGCATCATTAAATGGATCGGGCTCGTTTCTGAGGGCGCCAAACATATATCCCCTCGCCTCTATCTCACACCAGACGATACATCCCGGCCTCTTGGCTCGACGCGTGGTTGGTATAGGACCAGTCATGTGCGGGGGCATCGGGCCTGACACCATGTCGGTGAAAACCACCCCAGAGAGAGAAAGATGTTTCCTGGGCACAATCGCATCAACCCCATCGTACTGTCTGCTACAGAATGTTGAAGGTGGTAACATGCCAATCGCTCCAAAAGACAGGAGATTGACCATGTCATCGAAGTTATTGCATAAACGGACAAACCGGTTCTCCACATCGGCGGGTGGCTGCAAAATCTCCAACAGATACTGATTAATCACGTATAGTCAGCACCAGTACACAGGAAGATCGAAGATACTTGCCCACCAAGCTTCATGAGAGATGGTGCGTATGTGGGTACGGCTGTATATCCATCCCCCAAGCACCTTGTGCCGGCTACCTGAACAACATGAGACGGTGGGTTGTGCAACTTGCACGCCACTTACTCAGACTACCAAAATTAGCGACGTCACCCCCCTTCGACATCATAAGGGCATCAAGCACTGCATCTTTGAACCACGTCAATCCAAAACCTAATTTATTTCTTTCGAACAGGAACAGGAATTTGAATGCATCCTCAATCGAGAAGTCATCGTCCAGCATGAGATCCTGGAAGGAGACCTTGTCGAAGGTTTTGAAGAAAAAGTCTGAATCGTGAAACATGATCCGTCGTGCATATTGTTGGAAAACGTTATGTAGGACAGTTGGGTCAGGCTCAAAAGTTGGATCAGAGTCGTCTGGATATGCTTCATGACGAAGGTGTGTGAAAAGATTAGGGTCCGTGATCATTTCAAAAATGGTATGCAGTATCTGAGTTTTTTGTCTGAAAAAAAAGGATTGAGAGTCATCATCAATGGCACCATATCAAAGCCCATGGCCTAAATCTGGCGAGACTTACGCTCGGTGCTCAAGATCAATTAGGTCCTCATCCGCTAACGCAGAGGATCCCATAGACTTTTTAGTAGCGAAAAGCGGACATGTAGAGTTCTTTCGATCGTTGGGAAGGGTTCGTTGAGCCGCTTCAATGATTCTCTCCGTGGAAATCGGTTCATCATCGAAGTCGTTTGGTGATTGAACCGGTTTTATCCACTCGGAACCAGGATTATTGGCAATGTGGAGACTCAACGCCCGGGCTTGAAGATTGCTGAGGATGTCAACTGCTTTCCTCATTTTTTTCTCGAGAAATTTCAAACGATCCTTGTGTCCATCATCGACTATAGGCACACAGTCGTGTTGGTGAATAGAGCGGGGGAATTTAAAGGGCTCACTTTTCAAGAAGAAGCGTCTTTGGTGTATACCCCTGCCAGTCCTCTCCACTCGAATGCTTTCGAGATATTTGCGCACCAAACGGGCCTTGTTGAGTGTCAAATGCAAATCAGTGTAACATTGAATTTGCTCCTTCGTCGGGAGCTCCAGTGTTCCAGATTCGATATCGTCAACAACCTTGGAAGCATCCTTGTACTTCTTATACATTGTACGGTACTGGGCCTGGTGGACCTCACAACGCTCGAAGCCTTCTGTCGGTGGCTGGTCGCAACGCGTCGTTTCGTCCTCCTCCAAGGTTGAACATAGGATTTCTATATCCTTTGACTGGCTGGATGAGACATTGGGTATCTTCTTCCTGCCACTCCCCTTGCCCCTTCCCTTGTTCTTCCTAGGGCCTGTCATTGCGATGCGTAGTGGTGATGATCAGAGAGTACGACACTAGTGGGCGCCTGTCCCGGCAGATTGGCTTAACTTGCCCAAGGCATGATACTGTGACTCCCACATAAGAATAGACCCGGCGCTCCCATAGTCGACGACTAAAGTCAATATCATACGCAAAGACAAAGGACCGTGAGAACACAAACATCCGAGTCCCGCCTCAACATCACCACAATACTGAGTATTGAATTTCCTGCGGCCTCATCAAAGTGTGGACGCCCTTGTTTGCAACTCTCAGGTAGTAAATATGGACTATGGAACGCTGTATTAGGTGAGATCAGATAATATACTGCATATTAATGTACCCAGACAGAATAATCAGACCAAGGCGCATGTCAGTGTATACGTGGGCGAGCCGAAAATGAGGTCAGTCCTAGATAACAGAACCGTGTCGCTGTCCAGGCAGAATAGCTTAATTTGTCTCTGGATTCGTCCAAGGTATATGATACTGTAACATCATAGGATCCGGCGAGGATGAATAGATTCCCAGTCAATCCTCTGCCACAACAATACAATCTAGCGATGTTTGCAATTTCACGACTCGTTTACCAATTGATCGCAGTTGGCAAGTACTATATATCCAACTTCCGTTTTTCTTGGCTCCTTAACAAATATACAGAATACCCATATGTGCTGGCAGAAACAACATGAAATCATGATATCCCTGTCGAACCAGTATCGCTAGGAATCTATGGAAAGTACCATTCTCTGGGTCCAGGGTCGCGCCCGACGATCGTCAATGACTAGTGACGGATTTCAATTTTTCCACACCAAATTGCTAATGGCTCGTTGGCCGCTATCCATTTGAGGACACACTACGCAAGAATAATTTCAGGACATCTTCCGACCTCGGTTATTCACTTGACGCAGTAAGTCCATTGAAGGGATTCCTGCAGATAGGTTCTTCCTGTACCATCATGAAGGACGATATCCAGCATATAAAAGCGAGTTGTCTTCCTACTCTCCTCTTCAGATTTATCTGCCCCATCACAAACAATGCGTTTCTCCTCTGCAATTGTCCTCGTTGTCGTTGCTACTTTGACATCTGCCATGCCCCATGACGATGGCAGTCTTCTCGCTCGAAAGGCTCAATGTTCCACATTTTGCACGAAAAATTCGCAGTGCCAGGGCTGCCCTAGAGGATATTGCGTGAGTATCAGTAGTTTGTGTCTTGGATTTAACCACATAACTGACTGGCATGGAAGACCCCTCTTTTTTGCCAAGTGAGACGCGTTTCTGCTTTGACATCAGTCCAGTATGTTTTTTGGCACTGACGCGCGAGTTACTAGTAATTTGCAGAGTTTTTCGGCGTATTGGCTTCTATTTTCTCGCCGCTCGAGTCGAGCGATAGAAATCTTAGCGTAAAATAGGGGGCTTTCTTGTAAATGCTGTTTGTAACACGATAGCGTCCAGATGGCCCGAAAGCTTTGACTGAAAGTTTTGACAGTAGAAATAACTTCCGCGCACGGTTCTGAGTCTGCTGCGTGGGGTATTTGAGAAGAGCTCGGAAACAGTATGCGATGCAATTGAGTTAGCGCATAATGTATGATTACAACGAATTTTGTACACAGACATGATATAAGTTAACACGCAAGAGCAGCCACGAAAGCTACTGCTGAAAAGTGAGCTTGGGTACAATATATATCTTTGTTCAGGTCTCATCGAAGTGTGGACGCCCTTGTCTGCAATGCTCAGGTAAATATGGAACGCTGTCTTAGCCTTCCGTCCCAAATTTGACCTGATTCTTCCAGCTTTTCGTGATTCTGCTGTAATTGGTTTTTTGATCCGACTGGTGTATGTACTGTAAAAACTGGCCAATGTAATCAGACCTCAGTTCCGGATAATGTACTGCATATTAATGTACCTAGACAGAGTCATTAGACCAAGGCGCCTGTTAGTGTATACGCGGGCGAGCAGAAATGAGCGATGTACCGTCAGTCCAGATTACGGACTGAGAGACTCAGCGAGTCCATATTAGGGAGTTGTATAATGCAGCATGATCCGAGCTCACTGCATATCCGGCGTAAGCATCAGAGAGTATTACCTACAAGCGATGACCTTCGGTCGTTGGGTTTCATGCTGTAGTATTAGCTCCGAAGGTAAAAATGGCAACCGCTAAGTCACTGTCAGGGAGAGCAACGTAGCCGTCATATTTTTATTGTCGTATTGATATCCAGAAGCATTTTGAATGCCCACCAATCCGTGAAAAGTACAGCCGGTCGCTGCATAGTGCTGGAAGAAAAGGAAAAGCAAACCTGAGAGCGTGCGTCAGTGCTGCACAGCATGACCGTGACGGGGTGGACACAATTGACAATTGACACCGAGCCGGCGGCTATTCATGCTTATATATGTTAGATATTAGATAAATTAGAAGATGAGTATTATATATCCATGTCATCGAGCACCCGTAAGCATATATAAGCTGAGTCATCCATTAACGTTAACCTATGCCAGCTTAATAATGGGGGCCGGAGACCCTCTTTAAATACAGAGCTTGAACTTCTAGCAAACCCATCTCCATCATCAACGCAATGTCTAAAGCTCAGTACCGCTCCCTTGGAAAGTCTGGTCTCAAAGTCTCTGTCCCAATTGTGAGTTATAAAACGCTTATTGATAACCCACAGCACTCGCCACTCATTAATATTCTTCATAGCTTGGTGCAATGAGCTTTGGTACTTCGAAATGGGCTGTATGTGATTGTCCCCTGTTCCATTCAACAGATCCTCAACTTCTTACAGCCCTGGGTCCTTGACGAGGAGCCCTCTATCGAAATATTGAAGGCTGCTTGGGACCTTGGTATCAATACAATCGACACTGCCAACATTTACTCAAATGGCGAGTCAGAGCGCGTCATCGCCAAGTTCATCAAAAAGGTATGCCTTAACGATGTCCTAAATCTACATTCATTGATGTATAGACTGCATAGTACAACATTCCTCGCCCCCAGATCATAATTGCAACCAAGTGCAATGGCCTTGTCGTCAACGATCCTTCAATACATGGGTTCGCCAGACCCGGTCTCGTCGAGCTACCCGAATACGTTAACCAGTCTGGCCTGTCTCGCGCTGCAATCTTTAACGCTGTCGATGCGTCTCTCGCTCGTCTCGATACCCCATACATCGATCTCTTGCAGATCCACCGCTTTGACCCTTCAGTCACCCCTCAGGAAACCATGAAAGCACTTCACGACCTCGTGCAGAGCGGTAAAGTCCGATACATTGGTGCTAGTTCCATGCGCTGCTGGCAGTTTGCCATGTTGAACGACGTGGCCGCTCGTAATGGTTGGACGACGTTTGTCAGCATGCAGGATGAGTACTCACTGCTCTACCGCGAGGAGGTGTGTTCCTAGAAATTACAAAGTTTGCTCTTCAGTTTGACATCGCATTCAGGAACGCGAAATGCTCGCTTATTGCAAATTCAACGGAATAGGTGTCATACCCTGGGCTCCTCTATCTGCTGGTCTCCTCGCACGTCCCGTTGGCACAGAGACGACGCGTCTGAATTCTATCAAGGGAACCGCTTGGGAGAAAAAGGTATCCAGTGCGGATGCGACTATCATTAACCGTGTCGAAGAGCTTTCAAAAAAGAAAAATTACAAGATGAGCCAGATTGCGCTGGCCTGGGTTGCATCAAAGGTGTCGAGCCCTATCGTGGGTATCAGCTCTGTACAGAGGCTGCAGGAGAGTATCATAGAAGGAATTGAGCTCACCCCGGAGGAGATAAAGTACCTGGAGGAGCCGTGCGTATTCTGCTCGCTTGGTTATTCAACTCGAGACTGACGATCACCTTTGCAGGTATGAGCCCAAGGCCACTCGTGGCCACATTTAGGTGGTTACAGCCTACAACGCCCAAGGAGAGATACCTGTAGCATTGTATATTAGTACCACCATCGACTTAAACGCAATGCACTGAGTGAGAATGATCATATCGGTTTCAGGAGCACTGGAGTTCTATGCTGACGGATGTGGAGAGTATGGGCACAGCGTAAGACAATTGTACCCTTGAGTATACCGTGACCCTCGTTGATTCGTTCGAACACTTTACAGGAACAAATTAATTTGCGAATGTAGGAGGTGTGTAGAGAGAAAGTTGAAACTGCTAGCAAACCTTGGTGATAAAGTTACGTCACGTGAACAATTTAATGCTCATTTAAAGTTCACTGACTGCTGCCTGAACGTCGAATGAGGCAAGGACTCCCGGGGCTTCAATGATTCAGGTCCTGCTCAGGTCATGGAACTGATTCATTGGTGTGCCGTTTGAGTTGAAACGTTGACGTATCGACATATGTTGATCGGAAGCACTACTTCGAAGCCCCTCTTTGAAATTTGGGTGTCTACGCACGGATCAAGTGAAGATTACCTTTTTTCAAGATAGCAGTTTGTTCTAGGAGTAGTCATCCCAATGTCATTCTTCACCCCCACCCCACCCCCACTCCCACAGGCGATGATGCCTCCTGTCCAACTGGACCCTCGGTTGCTTCGGTCTGGCAGTTATAATCATCATATTTTTCCCGTGCTATGCACCAATTTTGTGGTGTATGCTCTCCTGTGTTGTTTCATGTGTGTGGGGTGTACTTCGCGCTGGACACAGTACGCTCTTCGGTAGAGCTTTAAATCTGCAGCTAGAATCTACGGAGGATGACGGGGTACATGGTGGAATGTTGATCCCTCTAGTCTTTTGTGGGACTTGGATGAGACCTCCCCGAACTGAGGAAGACGGGAGTGTGGATCAGTCTGAATGGTCAAGTATTCAGGTGTGTTGAATTCAGGTGCTGTCACTTGTATGATAATATTCGATCATAGCCTGTGTCTGCATCTTCGCCTGTCAGCTCTCATGTTGCATGTCAATCCGCCCTTGCAGTTGGAAAATCTGAATCCACGGTATCTGCTGATACCTTCCACGGCCATCTCCCCATGATTCCAAGTCTTCTTCACCTATTCAGAATCTCCCCAAAGCTGTAATGATTGCCGTGATGATCCAGATGCCTTCTCCCGTTTTCCAGTGTCGAAACGATAGAAAGGGTCGTACATACAACCCCGCTAGACCAGACAATCCGTTGTCGGAGTATCAGATTGGCGTAGCACAGATTCAGTATGTGGACGCTCGATGTTGACGCGACCTGCATGTTTTCTTTTGCTGCTTGTCTCAGCCGCTCAGTCATTGCACCAGGGTGGCGGGAGCGCCAGGGGTCCTGTCTCGTGATCGGTCCTCGATGGATAGAGCTGTAGCCTTCCTATAGAGGTTTGGCCTTATTCCCTCGCAGTCCCTGCCCGTTCCATCATGAACGGCTTGTGGGTACTTTGTGTTCGAATTTCAACCTGTATAGTAGCAGTATGTCCTTTGCGAAAGAATTAATGACCGCAAATGCTTTCGACTTGAAATCACTTTGATAGATAAGTCGTAGCTGCCTTCTGAGATTATTTCCTTGAGAATGCTACTTCGTGTATCTAAAACGCGATCGGGGGGAATTTACTGTGCAGGCCATCGAACAGACTTCGCAAGGCAAGCTCCGCTCATCTTGAACCTGAACGTTAGATGGCTCGTAGAACGTCCCCTCAGAGTTGCTAGATGACAGGTGATACCTGTGGAAGGATCATTTGCGACAAGGCCATTGCACTTGGTGACCCTTGCACATAGCATGTGCTGAGCATACACGGGACCAGTCAGTTTTCAAAATCTCTGGGTTATCATAAGCCAACCCTCCAAATGCTAGCATTCGGGCTACAATATGAGAGGCCCCCCAAGTATCCATCCACACGTACCTTATGTCCGGTCTAAACAAGCTGCCCGAATACGTCAACCAATTTGGCCTGTCTCGCGCTGGAATTTTCAACGCTGTCGACGCGTCCCTCGCTCGTATCGACACCCCATACATCGAACTCTTGCAGATCCTGATCACAGCCAACCTACAGCGTCAAAGGGGAGATGTCAGCCAAAATCCGTAGCGCTTTGTGTTACCACCATCACCACAATGCACTGAGTGGAGAACGATTGTATCGGTTTCACAAGCCTGCATTACCAAAAGATCCTACCGATACAGTAGTAAGATAAACACAAAGATATAAGAGAATATGATAGGTGAGGGTAGATTCACGAAGCGGGGTCATGCAACACCGCGAGGAGATATCTTTCATCTGTAAATGAATAATTAATATAGTTATCCATCAAAAGCAGATACCCACCGACCAGGCGAAATCATGATTTCATGGCGTTTGGTCCGTATTCTCATGAAGCGAATCTGGTCCTATAACAACGCGTGAGCAAAGCATAAGACATGAACATAGTTGCTACGCACTCCATCATTTTCCGACATACTCACTTCCTCCAAGCCTGCTTGCACGCTCTCAACCATCTTGCCTATGACGCTCGCGTACTTCTTCCCTTGTTCTCCCTCAAAAATGACGCCTGAATGACGTATGATACTGACATGGTCTCCACGCGAGAGTAAAAGGTATCCGAGGACAGAACGGTGTGATGATAGAAGGGTGAGCGTCTGCTCGAGCTCTGGCGGCATTATACTAGGCGTAGAATTGTGAGTAGCACCTGTGATATTTGTGCTCGTCGTCGCTGTTATGCCTTGTACTGCCTATATGCAGGTTGGTCAGCGAAATGGAAGGAAGGAAGAGGGAGCAGACCATTATGTGACTGGCTCGAGCGCGCAGATTCACTGGATCAGTGGTTCAGGGCATGACATTTCGGGTAGTAAACGTTGTTTGGGTCAGAGGGTGTTGCCAAACAACCACCTACACTAATTTCGTGCTTTCGCCCAGACCACTAGCTACCAGTGCTCCGACATTATAACTTATGGACCTTCGACTATTGCTCACATGAATCCATCAGAATCAAAGAACAAACAGAATCCGTGGTCATTTAATCACCGTACTCGAGCTCATTATGCATTCGACTCTGGATCTGACTCTGAATCCGAGGCCGAAATTAACTCTAAAGTCAATATTCCTTCCGACGACACTAGACTCATTCAAGAGCTCGATATCTCTTTGCGGCACGAGACCGTGGAGTACAAACCCAACCCATGGAGTATTGCGCGTATTAATGCTGTCAGTCGTCTCCCGAATAAGGAACCCCCCAAGCAGGCTATCTCAGAGGACATACGACAAAAATCACAGCCACGGGCACCACGGGGTCGAATTGTGGATGCATTCAAAGTTCAGGCAGAGCGCAAGCCGCGTCGCGTACCCCCTCCTTTGAAGGCACCCAAGGTTACAAAGCCCAAGTCGAATATGCCTCAGGTCTCTCGGGAGCACCAAGTTTGTTCACACATCCGGAGAATGAGTAGCCCTGGACCAGGGGACTACTCGCAGCACGATAATGCATTGTTTCTCGCCAGTGGGTTCCAAACCAGACCTTCGGACATGCCTGCTACCTTGTTGTCCAACGCTCCCCAGGGGGACTTCCACGATCAGCGAGTCCAACCTCATCCGGGTGTCCCAATTCTACCCTGCACTACAGATAGCGAGCGCGGCAACATTCAAATGAGTCACGAGGCACTCTTACAACGAAGCGAAGCGCATATATCCACCCCCGACATGAGTCTGTTGCCACAATCACGATATGACGTGCGATTCATGTCTATGTCATCTCCGCTCACCAGCCGTGACTATCCAGTGAATGTTTCACACCTTCGACCAGGAGGCTATCAATCTTCTCCGCCAAGACCTTTCCATAGAAATATCAATACTCCTCAGAGAGTGCTTCCGTGTAACCAATCCTCCTCACAATTTCGCCGTGGCATACATCTTACTGGTAATCGTGAGTACCTCGGTGCGCTTGCGTAATATATGATGGACGTTTTCTGCAACTCCGCAGAGCGTTTTCAAGCGTTGTCTGCATCGCCCGTTCCCCATGTTCCAGCGGTGAGGTCCTGCCGCGCATTGCCACCTGCGATGGTTGAAGGAGAGCCTCCGTCAATGCCGCAGTGGCTGGCCTCCACCATTCACAGCTCCCTCAACCCCCCACTAGCTCAAGCAGAATTTATCGAAAGAGTTTCACGCCCGGAGCAAAACCATAACGATCTTATGTCTCCGGAGTCTAGGAAGCGTCCATACCAATCACCAACGCCATCTCCACTACCACAACGTGCCAAAAAGTTTACGCCGAAAAGTAAAATTGGGGCCTCGTCAGTTTCACCTGGTGATCGCCAAACTTCTGTATACACGTTCGATGACGATCCTGACGCTAACTGGAGCACGGTCACGAAACCAGCGAAGAAAAAGAGTAAGAATTATAAGCCCGGTCACATATCGTCGTCAGGACCGTTCAGTCTCCGTCTTCCTGGCATTGCTGTCGGAAATTCGAAGGGCCGGAGTACAGGCGTGACGCGGACAGAGAAGAAGCTTGGCATTCAGACAAAGAGACGTGTTATCACGTACCTCCCACCACCACTACCACAGCGCACCGAAAATTCGCTCCAGATCGAAGAACATTACGTCCCCGATAACAACGTGCTCCCCTCTGGGTCCACGCCAGCTGTTCAGCCACCACAAGAGAGCGGTCGTGTATCTCCTCTACCACTCGCCGACTCTGATGATTTGACATTAGTGGGTGGAGTGGACGAGCAAGTGGTTACATTTGATACTGGAGAGGTGAAGGCGCGGTATCCCAAAATTCGCAAGCTCATCAAAGAGGTGCGTATCCATCCCTGTTTCGCTTGCAAATGCCCTTGACCTTGCGTGGTAGTCCTTGTCGCCATATTCGATGCTTAGCTGACCATAATTGTGTGGCTTGTAACAGACTCGCGTTATGCTTCCAGAGCTGCTGGGTCTTCCGAGTTGTGGGGTTGTATGGCGGGACGATGATGTCGCACGAGTGGACGACACTGAGAATAGAGAAATCAAGATAAGTGTTTGGCCTTGCGTTGGATGATTGGCGCGTAGGGCTATCACATCCATTGTGTTGTTAATGTCCGCTATTCTGTTGCAGAACAGACTCGCCTATAAAGAAGAACGGGACAATACTACAGTTTACTTTTATCGGCACTCTATAGAAGATGGGGTATATTCGATGGTCAAGAGACGGGAAATCGCCTCTAATACTCATCACACAATTTGAACGAGTATTCATTCGTCTGTGTGGCATCATGTCAACCAGCATTTAACCCAGCACCCGATCTCACTTCAGACGATTCTGTCAAGTAATACGTGGCTGCTCTGACCTACCCGTGCGAGCAAGTACCATTGATAAAGATGGCTATTCAACTCCTCCAGGGGCAGTCTTCGTCTCGCACCAAGAGGAGTATCTGCATGTATTATCCGACATTCAGGCCTACGGAGATGTGACAATCCCGACGTTAGCTCCGCTCTTGTTTCACTATACTGTACCAGAAACATAAGTTTATGACAGTTGTATATTGTATACATCACAAGTTACACTCTGCTCGGTGATGTAATGAAACTAGAAATGAGGAGCGAATTTGGCCAGAGCTCCTGTGCCATAAGTACTAAGTAACTGTGACACGTGCAGTATACAATAAGCCACCAAGTCCGCCCATCACCCAAAAGAATCCGATGATACTTCCCATGGTCGGTATTCTAGGCGTGATTTCAAAACACTTCGCGAAGAGACAGAAACGTGGAGATGGATTGGAGATGGAAGTGTTGCGCGGACAAGCTTAGAATGACGGCGATGGTGACCTTGTTGTGTCCTTTGAGGCTGCAATTTACACCTTCGATAAATGGAGATTGGCTTGCATCTGAAGTTCGGGAAGCACTATCATTAATCAAAGTCGACAACGCTGCTGAAAATGCATACCTTCGCGATCTGGCGATCGCGTTTTTCCATTTCATGTTGCTGGTCGGCATTGCCTTGTTCCACAAGCTGCAGGGACAAACGGTATGCCTGAACTGATGACGGTGAGCAGCGAGGAGGTGATAATTGAATCACCTGCAGCAACAAGACCGCGACGTGCAATGCGGAAGGCCGTGTGGATTGGCTTTGAAATGACAGTGATGAATGTTTTGAATTCTCTGTGAAATATGATTTGGTTGTGCCAGCAACTTGGACAGTAAATCATGTTTTCTGTACATGTAAGAGTTTCGGATGATATCGATCATGATGATAGGGTATCGTGTATACTCACACCATCGCTATCGTCATCAACATCATCCGAACAATATCCGATAGTCGGGTAAAATGTAGCACGAGAGACTATGCTCTACTGTCTGGGGGGAAATTGTAGTGGTCAATCCTTGACCGAATTGACTATTGCAATTTTCCCCAAAGCCATATGATTGTCATTTCCGTCACCATCTATGTGTTCTGAGAGAGATTAACACTCATAAGTCGCCTAGTGTTCCGTGGGTCAAACCAGAGGCAAGGAAGTCCTTCAGGAGGTTTTACCATGCCTGATCATCGAGGGTAGTTGGTTACAAGAGGGTTGATGTTGGCTTTGAATCAAGACATGGGAAGCGATAAGGGGTCACGCGTCACGCGTGCCGGATCTCGTCCATCGGCAGTGTAGGACTGGAGAGTGACTTGTCCAATATTCAGTTCAAACTTCGTGCAACGGCGACGATCAAGAAAGATTTGTGTAAGGACAGTTCTTTACCCAAAATTTTCCGTATCTCGCCTCAGATGTTTGCTTGAGCAGGAAAGTACATTCAGAACGACGGGTCCTCGCATATACATCATCAATCGTCATACTTTCTTGAACTACTCCTGCAGCACTGTCGCCAGTGATACTCATTCAAGGATGATTAGAACGACATTACTGTTACTATATCTGAAGGTTGGGTAGAGCTCACCCATCATAGCACAAGCTTCTGGTATTGGGCTTGTTTCTCGTTACATCGAACACCTTTTCTCAGCTGAGGGCGTGGTCAGAGACTAGCCGTTTTGTTATGAATCAAGTGCTACATTTGCAACTATCCCGACTAGTACCAACGCAGTGCTCTGCCACTCCTGATATTTTTGGTCAAAACTCCTCCACATACAATGCATGACATTTGCCATTTGGTAGGCTGATACTGAGTAGTATGAATATGAATCTCATGCAACTGGTTATTCCACAGGATAGCGACTGGTTTATCAATGCACTCGCTACCTGTCTTATCATTGGTCTCGTCGTATCCTATTGCCCACAGGTAACGTGAACGACATGCGGACCAGTAATCATCTGACTGTTGTACAATAGCACCTCCGAATAATTCAGATGAGCTCTTCCGAGGGCTTTAGCCCGTGGTTCTTGCTACTTGGTAGTACGTCTTCTGCCGCGGGAATGCTTAATATGTGAGCCACCGGATGGCATTGATGTTGATGCTCGGGTTTTCTGATGAACCGTCCAACAGGATCGCATTATCTTGGCCTACTATTCAGTGCTGTAATGATGTGGTGCGTTCCGCGGTGATTTTGCCTGCTTGGCGCCACTGAGAATCTACGACTTGTCAGAGCGTGGGGAAATGCCTAGAAATCACTGTCCAGCTTGCACAGCTCATGTTACGTTGATATTTAAGTTTGGCTACCAGCCAATATTTGATTGTACAAGATCTCCTTTAGAGCACAAACTAAGAAAGACCGCCACCGTCGTACCAGTCCAAGTATACAACGCATTGTAGTGCCTGAAAACAATCTGGTCCAAGATCGAAGTCACAAAGTCACAAGTGACTTATCAGCAAAGCATCAAGAATTTGGGTCTAATCATTTTCACAGACGGTTTCGGCGACACCTGTTACAAGCGTTCATCTGACACCCTGCACAACGCTAATGATGTCATATTAGGTGTGTCAGAGTAAGCAAGGCGACGCAAATGGCTTACGAAGAGGTATAGCGGGAGATGCACCTCGCAGCTCTCGCAACGTCCACCACCGCGCCGGAATTTCCAGCTTCTGTGGTCACAGTCATGGTCCACTCTGAGACGATCCATGGTCTCCCTGATCATACGCTGTCTGACAGTGTTCCTATCCGAGTCCGGCGTTGTTGCAGTTGGCGTGGGCTGTGGCTGTGGCACTCGTGTGGACCATGCTGAAAGGAATGCTCGCGTTTCAGCACGACGAGTCCTCTGAGTCTGGGAAGGGGGTGCTGCAAGAAGTGCTGGTGCTTGTTCCTGGCGATTAAGAGTCGTGGTACGGGGTAAGACAGGAGGAGGTGCTGGGATAGGTGGCTGAGGACGACGAGTCGTGTGCAAGATATTGGCAACTGGTGCTGGTCTGGGTGCTGCTACAGGAACTTGTCGAGGAGGAACCGGAGGAATATTGACGACTGGCGCTTGTCTGGGCGGTACCGCAGGTCCCGGTCTAGGTAGATTAATAGGCCGATTCCTAGCAGCGCCAGCAGCTGGCACTGGTTGGCGTGCTGCAGGTGCCTGTTGGAGAGGATTAGCAGGCTGGGCGCGACGCTCAGGCAGTAGTTGAGCATCCACGCGACGCTCTGCAGCAGCCAACAGCCTGGCCTCGTCCCACTGCGGGCACCTGCAGCTCTTCCAGAGTGCTTTGCACAAATAGCAAAACTCTGTCCTGCATCTGCAGGTCATGTGGAAACACCCCATGTTAAGCTCGATCATCTGAGCACAGCCTGGACAGCGTGCCCACCCCGAGGCGCGGCTGAGTGTGAGAACTTGCTCAATCTCTGCATCGGGAGTGCAGAGATGGGTGAACCCTTCGTATCTACCACGACATTTTCCACATGTCGACATCGTACACGTAGGGGATGTGCATTGAAAGACCTTGCTGAAAAATCCCTCATGCAATGGCCCGAGGAAACGGCTGCATGTTGGTGAAACACAATAAACGCGCTTCATGGTCCCAAATTCTTCAGCTTTGAGGGTAAATTCAGCGAGGACTGTCTGTGCCAGGTGAGACCGAACTTGTGGGAGTGGAATGTTCTGGCGACAACATCTAGGAGGGTACAAACTCTCATCGCGAGTTGCTGATTGGAATAGGTCGGTGACGCAGCCGATATCATAAAAGTGGCCGCATGGTGCCCGAATTTCCACTCCGAAGATGGGGTCCTGACAGATCACGCAATCGTGGCCAGTAGCCCTAGTTATGATGATGGATTCAGTAACAGTGTATTAGCATAATAGGTAGTAACACGTCTCACCGAAGAGCTGGCCTAGCCGCAGTGGTGGGCGCTTGACCTGGGTTTGCCAGTGTTGGTGTCTGACCATCCGACACAGGCGCCGAAAACAAGGAGGCAAACCATTGGCCCCATGTTTGCTTTTGTAGCGTCGCACTGTAATTCTCATCAGACACTCCAGAGGAACGTTACATTTGCAAGCGTACTTTCTCAAGCTAGTCAAGGCGGGTGTTGCCGTTGCTGGCCTGCTTATCAGTGTTAGCTTTGAGAGTCCCGTGATATATAGCCTTACCTAGCAGGTGCAGGATCAAGCTCTTCAACAGCGAGTCGCTGGGCAAGTTCCCGATCAGCATTGAACTCTGCAAGTTCTCGAGCATTCTGCATCAACAATGCGAAGGCAACTTCGCGATCAGTGAGTCCCTCTCCTCGGTGCACTCTGTTATCATATAAGGTCTGTAGTCTCTCTACATCAGAGAGTTCCAGTTGTGCGATCATACGGGTAAGATCCTCCTCATAGTTGTCTCTATCTCTTGTACCAGGGACCGGACGTGGTCGTGAGGGACCAGCGATGTTCATGGTGGCAAGAGAGAAAGAGTCAAGCGCAAGCGTGAGAGCCTACAACGACATTCGACTAATTTCTGGATGAGCGGTGCTAACACGTGCCGAACCTTAGCGTAACGTAGATCACTGAGCGCTGTTCTAATGACCTACACGTTGTGCAAGACCGCTTATCATCGGCGATGGACCCCGGATAGTTGCAGTTCTATTTTACTGTAGCGTCCCCCAATAGCCCCTAATCCTACATCTGAACAGCCCTGTGATTAGCTCAGATCGAATACGTCCTTCAAAATCTCGACAAGCTCTTGATCTTCAGCATCAGCGCTTGTAGGACTAGGGCAGCCTTGCTCGGCTGCAAACCTCTGTGCATACTCACGAGCCTCGTTTATCTTGAGGACGGTGGGCATGCCGAGCCGCTTGCCATCGTCAACGGAGCGACTCGGTTGTTTACACAGAAGAATGTAGGCGGGCAAGAGGAGCGATTTGTCGAGGTTGTACTTATCATAGGTGATAATTCGCTCGACAGGTTTCATGTCGAGCTTTTGCAGCTGCCGGACTGCCAGGTCTCGCACACTTGGAAATTTCCATCGTGTAGCCAGTTCAAGGATGGTGATCCAGTGGTCTATGGGTTGCTCATCGTACATATATTGCCTTCGATTCCAAACGCTCAGTCCGCCGATGAACATGAACTGGGAAAGAGGACTCACGGGTTGTAGAATACCCACAACAGTCGTTCGAACTCACTGATCTTGACATCATCGAGTCGAAACGCTGCCTGGTCGGACTGACCATCTTCCTCTGGCCCAGCTGTTCTGAATCCCTCCCGGAAATATTCGGATTCTCTTTCAAAAAAGTACTTGTGTACGCGAAAGACGGTGCCCGCGACCTGTTTGACGGCAGGTATTAGGGACCATCACGATTAAACAAAAGGAAAACGTGCATGAATTGATACGCTACCGTCATGCAAGTAATACTTGGGATGGCGTGTTATTCGTGACATGCCCATATTTTCGATAGTTAAAACTGATTGATAACGATGATGTGTCGGAACTTCTCCCCAGACCCCACTTTTATCTACTGCTATGGCCGCAGCATACCTTCCGTATTCCATTCAGATGTGTTATTTGGTAACAAGGTTATGGCAAATGTAACCAAATGTGCAGAAAGCTCCGAATCGCGCATTAAAAGGCTGCTGTTGAAGATCAAATCAAGATTCATTCAGAGGATCATCGGCTAGAAGTGCGGCGATAGGTCGTACACGAGGCATGGTGGGCTGTGTGCAATGGCAACAAGATGCCCACACCGGTACTTGTATAGCATTGTATGAGATGCAAACAGCATCAGGGTCCAATAAGTATCCACATATCATCCGTCCTTGAAAGAAGTAGCACTGATCACTGATCAATCTTCAACCGTCCTCTAGCTATTTTGGTAGGAATCGTGACATACATTTCGCATCGCAGCTGTTTTGCCACCGTCTGAGATGAGTACAAGACCAACAACAACCTCAAGAGAGGTACTCCATTTACAATAATCCCGTCAATACAATGCGTTAGCTGGAATGATTTCCACTTTTGAGTGGGGCTTTGATGAGGAGAGTGATCTATGTAGGTGCCTGAATTATTCTGGAGTAGAACGTCGAGTGGCTCCGGGAATCGCTGCCCGCCTAGTACGAAGTGAGACGCCCACTGTTCCACTGGGACGCCTCAGTCGTTGTCTAAGTATCTGATCCTACAAATATCTAGTGGAACATTACTCCAAGCAATGCAGGACAGTACTGACCGATGTCATCTGAGAATTTAAAAAGGCAGATGGGAGGTTATCAAAGCGGAAGGTAGGTCCTAATGTTGAAAATCTAGCTGGGCGCTTGAGTCTTTGAGAAAGCTCAGGCAGGCAAACTTTCAACTGTCCCAGAGTATGCTAAGTCACTTGACATACTCAAACACAGTTGTAAGTGCCACTGTGAACGTTGTTCAGCGCTCAGCCACGGTGAACTACTTTTTGGGTTGGTGGTTAACGTTTAAGAAAGTTGACACCGTTGACACGTTGCAATAAATTACATAATAACCAATGTGCTTTCGGCCAACATCGACCCCAACCTTGAAGCTGGCGAATCTCTGCCCATGCTACGTGCTTGACACATAATTTAGTATCGTTATGGATGATGATAGTGCTGAGATCGAGCTCGTATGTTCTTCTTCCAGGTGGATTCGCGAAGTGTTGACCGTTCTGTTATGATGCAGCTAGAGCAGAACCTCAACAAAACGCACCAGATCTCACAGCGGATGACTTGTGCGTGATTTCCAGCCATGTCCAACCGTGACTAGTTGACTGTTGACTACACTTCATGATATACAATGACAGCTATCCTGACGAACTTTGACACTCGTCTCGTGAAACTTGAGAAGTCTATCCTACCACTATACAACTCGACACAAAAGCTTAAACAACGGGCTCATAGTGGGTAGTCTAGGTCGCGTCATGAACAAAAACTCATCTAGTGATACACAGATATTGATCGCGCTCTGCTAAAGATCGACGAGGTTGCTAGTAGTCAAGATGGCATTGCCGTAGAAGAAGGCCTCGTTTTACGGGGGTATGTTACAGTTCGATCAAGGCTTGGTACATAACTGAATCACGAACAGGCCACAACTTGGTCAGCTTGATGCCTACATCGATATTCTTGAACGCCTCAATGCTGCCATTGCATTCAAATCTTCTGATGCAGATTCAAGGGATATGGTACGATTGAGATTCATCTGTTGCTATTTTACATGCCTTTAATCATCTTTCCAAGGCGCGACTGATCGAGACTGGTGCGAAGAAGCTTTCCCAGTTGTATACCAAGCTTGTCGCAGAAGGCTCTTCAGGATCTCCACCCGTTTCAGGTCTTGCATTCATGCTCACTGAGTTCCCCCCTTCCTTGATGTCCTCCCTTACACCCCTGGTCGCCTTCCTCCGTACTCTGCCCCTTCCATCAACGCATCCTTCTCATCCCGCTGCTTCAGCTATCTTAAACACGCTCAAAGATGCGCAGCGAGGGTATGCGGACATGCGCGGGAATTGGAGTCGCAAAGCGCTCGAAATGCATTCACGGCGGGCTGTAGACCGAGCCGAGACTTTAGATGGCGTGGCTGCTGGGAAGGAGTTCAGCGTCTGGATAGATAGTTTGCTCAGAGTCACCGAGGTGTTTTTTCTAGTTATCATTCCTATTTTGCAAATTCTCAACAGAGCGCGGATACACAGACCGAATACACTCTCCTCACAGAACTCGCCCCGCTGTCTAGCAACACCCTCATTGCATCGACTTATGATACCCTTCTTACTCCTCTCCTAACCCTCTTCACGGACACCTTGTCATCTCTGACATCCCTCATCAAGCGCTCACTACACAAATACACGTTCCACGCGCTTTCTGCATTTTCTGCTCTGTCGATGTCTCAGAGTCGCTGGGAATCTGTGTTGGCGAAACGTGGACGGGAGGGGAATGAGTTGCGAGATGGGCTCAATGCGATCCGCGGAGTATGCCTCAGGAGCTTTCCCGAATTATTGGCTGATTTGAAGCTTGCCGCTATCGGCAAGGGCAGTGACCTGAGTGTCAGCTTAGCGGACATCACTATATCGGTATGTTAAGACAGTCCTTTGCCTTGTATTCACCTGCACTGAACAAATGTAGACCGTACAGTATCTGAATCGCATACCTGATGTCCAGGACGCTGTCGGGTCTGCGTTGTCTGCGCTCGGGGATGGAAACTGGAGAATGGGTGACGGAAAGCAAGTAGGGAAAACTGCAAAGTCCAACTCTGTAGAGGTGAAGGAAAAAGTCTTGATTCAGCACTTTGTTTGTGGGTTGTTTTTTCGATCGATTGTCCGAATATAATTCATTTAATCTGCAGACGATGTAATGAATACTCTGATCGGGAGCCTCACAACTTTGTCACGCACACAACGCCGACCTCCCTTCGGTTCTGTGTTCCTCCTCAACAACATTTCGCATCTTGTGTCTCACCTCGTCTTGCGCCCTACAAACCCCAACACACCTTCCCTGCTGTCTAAGCCCACGATAGACTTCCTTACCTCGTCATGGCGCACTGCAAAGGCAGGTTACTTTGATGCCAACTTCTCACCCCTCATGCAGGCGCTCGCGGACGACACACGAGATAAGACAAGCGGCAGTGGTTGGAAGGCGGCAGCGAAGGAGAAGTTTACGCGCTTTTATGACCTGCTTGAAGAGGTTGGAGAACGACATCGGATGGCAAAAGTGTTGGATGAGGATCCAGAGGAGAGGAGCGCTGTTGGGGAGGAGGTAGTAAAGCTGGTTGTTCCATCGTTGCAACGGTTCATGCAAAAGCAGAAGGAGAGAGAGTTCAGCAAGAGTGAGCTTCTTGCTCTTGTCGTGTGCAATGAACTAACATTTCACCAGATCCTCAAAAGTGTAAGTCATCCTTTATTTTTGCGCTAATCTACTTCCTTTGACAACTTGTCCCTTAGATATCAAGCTGTCTCCTGAAGAAGTGGAGTCCCGGATCAGGAATTTCTACAACTAGCTATCCATTCACATTATAATCGGACTTCGTTCTACTTTGTTTCCCTCCCTGTCTTTCCGGTACGAGTCGATCACCGAGTAGGGTGTTCTGCTACACGCCACACCGGTCAGCATTAGAGTTGTACGTCGCATGTTTAACAAGGAACTCTGTGACAATGCACGAACGTCGAATGGGCTCCATGTTATGCTTGTTCGATGTTCGTGTTACCCAGTAGCCTGTAGACTGATCATAATGATCATATGCGCACGCTGACGTGGTTATATCCCAATTGTAATTACAGGTAACCAATCGGACTAGCTCCTCCCATTGCAGATTATATGCAGACTCTTTGAATGCCGATAAAAAGCGTTTTGCCAAGTAGCGCGAGGTACGAGGGCTCCGCATGTTGTGCCTCGGAACATTCAGTTGTGCAGGTCCAGGTCCCACTGGATAGGATAACGATGGAAGAGTTATGCCCTCAGATAGCCCTCATGCACATGGGCGATAAAAGAACGCACTCGATGGTGCCAGCAAAGTCATGTTTTTCACCACGATCCCTATCCACTATTTACTGGCCAAGAAATGATCCTGCCCCACAAACCAGGGAGAACCGGTACTGCTGGCAGCACGAGCGTCCAGCACTATCCTTTCATCCTCATTTTAGGAAGTTAACACGTATCCCTTCAATAACTACAGCTCCCTGGAGCCAGGTATCCAGGTCCACTTCTTATTCTTTCACCAGAACTTTAATTTAATGTTCTTCCCAGAGTCTCCAAGCGCCAAGTTGTAGCGAAAATGTTTCTTATCAGTTAAATGGGGGTATTGACCGAAGTCTTGGGACAAGCCTGGCACTTGGAAGATAAATGTTCCTGACTAAGGATGTAGGGCATCGTGCATGAAGCGTTGGTGCTGCCGCCACTTTGTGATGATGATGAATGCCGTGTCGACAGAGATTACAGGTCAATAGCGTTTCAATACGGTGAGCACCCTCTGATGAATCAAAAATTGAATCCTTCATCACTCATCCCACATAACGTACGTAACTGGAGCAGCGATCTTCGAACTTCTGGCTTGTGGTACGTTTGAGTTGTGGCCCTCATACTCCCTTGGCTATAATTTATCAATTGTCAGGAATTCCAGCCTGTGACAATGTGCGGATTCACGCAAGATTTCGCAAGAAAGCTGGCTGCTCGCAATCTGGTAGGGAAGTGACCTAATAGGAAAACAGTCATTGAGCAGCACTACTTTTCGATTGACCATTTCCAGAGTCAGTTTGTACACACGATCGCAAAGCAATGGTATCGGACAGTGACAAAGATGATTAGTTGACTGAGCGACAAGTAACATACTGCAGGGTTCAGATATAGTATGCCTACCTAGATTTTGTCGGGCGTTGTTGGAAGTGGAGTAGGGAGCTGTACGGTATGCAGGACCCAGGTGTGTTTTTATCAGGTCTATCGTGTGCATACCATACTTATATTCGATCTTCGAGCTACACCAACAGTGTGAGGCTGCGCTATGGACTGATCTGCATGCCCCCAACGATAGTATTCTTCTTGTATCCTCGCATATCTTATATTAGCCCGATACCCCTATATTTCACCAAAATCTTACGCCAACTCCAATATGCAAAAATCTGTAAGTTTTCTTCATGCGCGTTCCAACTCTACAAATCACTGGTAACCCGCGCGTCAGTGTCAACGGCCATACTTCACCGGTGTGAAAGCAGAAACACGACTCACTGTGCAGACAAAAAAGGTCTACCATGTAGGTAAGTCATATTATCAAGTCCAGGAAAATGCTGATACTCACGCATTGATTATAAGTGCACTGCTGGCTACCGCAATGTTTGTCAGAAAGGCAAAACTTGGCACAATGATCGGCGCTATCCGTGTCACTGGTAGCAGGCATGGCAGAGACTGATGATGCTAAAGCAGTCATGACGGCGAGGACAAATGCAGAGGTGAAACGCATTGTTTGTGATTCGTGTGATATGGGATCAGGTAATTCTGAAGGCAGTTGTAGCGAGACGGCGGGCTTTTATATTTTTCTTTTGGATTTCTGTCGTTTGGATGTGCCTTCAAACGGATACATATCTACAATGCCAGCAAGTCTATTGGTGGGTGTGGAAAGGTGTGGAACTGCTGAACACCCGCGTTTTCTACCGGCCGTTGACTCGGTACCAAAACTACCATGACTGGAAAGATCTCTGTGTGCAACCGTATGAGTTAAAGATCCTCTTTACGTGGTTACAGCCATCTAATATCTGACGTCGCATGCCGGGATTGATCAGAGAAATTCTGATACGTAGCATGAAGATAATCGTTCCTCACACAAAGTGAACTCTGAATACGCGTCCTTGACTTCGACCATTCCACTTTTGGCTGGAGACCCACCAGCTGTCGGCAATCATGATTCATGACCCAGATTCATTTCGACTGTCGACGTGTGGTACCAGTGAGATAGATGCCGTGTGCAGGCCTCATCAAAATGTCTTTATATCAGTCGCTGGAATGAAAACAACGTGTTAGATTGGCACACAGAGAGCTCCTGTTTTGCATGGTTGGTCTTCTCTCATTTATGTTCGATGGTAGTCATAACGTCGGTATAATACAGATACATCATGCGTCACAGCAATACCCCTTTTGTCAAGCTATACCGAGCTCTTTTGCCAAGATCTGGAGACCCTATATCATTACATTCATTAAGAGATATATAGACAGACATAGGAAGGTAGCCCAACAGGTGTTTACTGAAGAAACGCGAGATCCCAAATGGACCAGAAGCAAACCAAAGTGCCGGATGTCCAGAGGGTCGATATATCTGATTAAGCTCTCCCTCTGGGTCAAGACCCCACACGTCAGGCGAAAGAAGATCGGTAATATCATTGCTAAGAAGAGCTCTCGCGGTCTTCATGATGGGTTCATTTCCCGTACTGGAACGTGCATGAGAAAGATCGACGAAAACTACCAGTCAGACCATACGCTAGGACGATAACGTCTGCTGAAAGCTTGGAACCGTCTTCAAACGTGATCCCATCTTTGTCAAAGTAACTGATATCTCGGCCTTGTTTTATCTGGACGCATATCGCAACAATCAGACACAGCTCTTAGACAATGCATACAAGTCCTGCCTTGACTCTGCCTTCGACGATTAGCTTACCACAGCCTATGTCAAGCACTGTAGGGTGTTTAAAATATCACTCGTCTCAAGAACAAATCCGAACGCACTAGTTCCTGAAGCCTGGCGGCTGAATACAAATCCTTCCAGCCCAACCTCGCCACTACCGGGCGAAAGTTCCCATGTCAAGTTGAATCCAACCTTGCGCAAACCGTCGTGGAGTTCCTTATCAAGCATCTTCGCGTGTTGTGTCCCACCTGAAATTTTCAGTTGCAGGAAAAAGGCCTTAGGCATTGAATTATTGCGGAAATCTAGTTCCTCTATAGGGGTACTGTGAGGGAAAGGGACCTTGAGGTAGGTCTTCTCTGCGGTAGTCGAAGACATAACACATGTAGCGCTTCTTTGGACCATTGTTACCTTTCCTTCCTTATGAAATCACGACTTTGATATTGTTCAATCCATACACACCTCAGTAGCACCATGCGCTACGAAATCTTGACATATGTCTGCACTAGCATTGCCCTAACGCTCTCGTAAGTGTGCACGCAAGTGTATAATGGAGAACACACGACCTACCGCACCCACAACGACAACGCGTTTGCCTCGGAATTGCTCTGCATCTTTATGAAAGTCGGAATGATACAAGGCTCCTTGAAATTCATCCATCCCATTCCAAGTAGGAATGCGAGGGCTCCCACTTCCTGTGGCAAGTATCAGGTACTTCGGGTTAACGAATACTTTCCGGTCTCTGTGCTGGACTTCCACAGTCCATCTTGCGGATGATGAGTTGTACGCTGGAGTTGAGGCTATGCTACTCGAGAGCCAGATACACAATTCCTGGTGCACAGCATATGAATCGAGGAAATTAGCAAGTTGCCCCTTAGGAATATAGTTGGGGAAGGTTGTCCTAACATTACTGAGATATATACCTTTGAACGGCGAAAAGCACATACGGATATGGACTGTAAAGCACTGTGTAAGATTAGCTCAAAGCCTCTTATAAAAAGATGATAAGACACACTGGAGCTTTGGTATGCCGGAGTATGTAGCGTAAGGTTTGGGTACCTGTGGTTCGCATATATAAGAAAGAACAACACATTATCACTGTGTTTGCGTATACCGGTGTCGCCAGGAGTCTCCGACACGTGCATTTTTCTCAATCACGAGCGCACGGATGCCCAACCTACGCAGCCGCGCTGCAGACATGAGGCCAGCTTGTCCACCTCCAACTTTTACAATCATCAAGTCATCATAATTAATGAGAGAAACTGCACTGCACCGATCAAAACCGTGGGGTCTGCCTCTATAGCACGGAACCTTGCGTTGACATCTTCCTCCCAGGTCATTTTTCGATCCTCGTGTAGGCCGTATTGATCTGCAGAAGACTCCTCATGCCCGACGAGGTCCTGCATGTTTGTGAAAAGGGTTAAAGCTTTCCACTTCCCATCGGTATCTTGCGTCAGACGGAAGAATCCTCGTCCAAGTGCAGTTGGTTTCGCAATAGTAAATGTGAAAGCACCTTGTACTCCTTGAATGCCTTGTGGACCTGGCAGTTTGAATGGTGAAGGCGCATTGGCGGTGTGATCATCTAGCTTGAAGTTCCGAAGACCAGAATGTTCAAGTCGCGTCTTTCCATCAACCACCTCCGAGAGGAATCCGTGTATTTTTTCCAGACCTGATAGCGTCCTAAAATCCCAAGAGAAACATAGAAGATCTAAGAGAGAGAACACTTGTGAGTACGCCTCAGTTGCTTGGACAAGCACCGACCTCTGAACCACCCGTCCGAAAGGAAATGGCTCACAAATGACGTAGAATCTCCGGCAGACGACGCAACCTCTAAGCTTTTGAGCCAGTCAGCGGATATTGCATAACAGTCCTCTGAAGCCATGTTGGTAAGGCAGGAGATAGTGAACGTGAATTAGCGCAGGTGTGGAGATATAAGCGAAACCTGTGAGTTCATGGTACGTACCCTGTTATCAGTCGGACTTCGGGTGGCGGGCCGCCATTATGTGCCATCGTCCTCGTGCCTATGGGTCTTCCCACGTTTTTCGCAAGTTTTTGAGGTGTCCGACGAGCAGTTCGTGATTAGTATCCAGTTGGATATTGTGACAATTATGCCACTATCGCTCGCGCACATCATGACATTCCATTCGAACTGATTGGAAGGACTACTTACGCGACATGCTACGAGCGCATGCATATGATGCTGAGTGTGTCAATAATCTTATTGTGTTCCTGTTTTCAAAGAGGCCCCGGCGACATTTTTCACATTAGTACTTAGATGAGATGAGCCTAGACTCTCATTGAGATTCGGCCCGTGTGTATGTCGTGCTCAGAATTTAAATTATGCATTGGTCCTCGTCGACGTCCAAAAGGTACAGTTGTATTTACTTTGCAATGACTGTTTGCCCGAGCACGTTTCCATGCACGTACTATTATGCTTTTAATTTGTATGGTCGAGCCATGCTGTACCCCAAGGGTTTGCAAGATCCATGGTGTGAAACAGATCTAAATTTATGTTCAGCCTTAGTATCTTACTCGCTGCGACAGCCCCAGCTGGTTAATTCCCTGGCTAACTTTGAATATTACGGGTACGAGAGGCTTCCACTATCAATCCATAGAGCATTCTCAGAAGTCTCGGAAGCCTCGGCTTAAGATTTAGTGTTGGCTTCTCGAGCTCGCGCGTCCCAGATTACTCATCACGATGCATATAAACCGTCGTTCTGTTCTTGTTCTACTGACATATATAGCGGATGTACCGAGAAGACAGAAAAAATCGTTTGAACATCATAAGCAGCGAATGGGAGAGAATTATGTGGCGAAAACCCAGAACAAACAGCCAAGAACAAAAGCAAGGAAAAAGTAAAGGGGATAACGGGTCTTGGGTTGCCTGGAGGATCGTGATGAATCAGTACAGAACGAGAAGTTGAAAAAGTTCACTCACACTTGCCCATTTTGCATGAGAATATTTGCATAGAGGTGTTCTCTTTCCATCTTCTTTCTGAGGATACGAACCGGAAGTGCATCCTCATTGCGACCTGCAGCGCAAATGACTTCCCTGTCTTGTTTTGTCATTTTAGCCCGCAAATACAACTGGTTCTGCACATCCGCCCGAATATACAAATTGAGATACCTATGCAACGTAAATGTAAGCTCCGTTTGCTACAATCCAAGGATAAGGACAGAGAACCCACTCTAGACATGTCATATTACTGGGTGCACAAAACAACGTGCCTGCGACAGCGATAATATGTATGAACAAGGGCTTGCGATTTCTTGCATCATCCAGCACAACAGCGGGGATGAACAACTCAGTGGTCATTGAGTTCCCTAACCCCTCTGTACAGTTATAGCTAATGAACTCTACGAGTCCCACAGGATCTTTGGCGAAACCTCTTGCGTTGTACCGTGCTCGAGCCTCACGCTACATATGTAGCTGCTCTGGCGTGAGGCGATCTCGCAAGCTTGAGTGCCACGGAGTGACAGCATTAACTTGCAACATTCCTGGAAGGTGCTCTCCAACAGCCATGTGGTTGAAATACAATCCAATGAAATGAAAGATATTGCTGGGTTCCATTGCAATGTCGACATGTGCCACAAATGGCACGTCGAATCCGATCTGAGGATCGTCAAACAGGTCATAGTGGGAGGCGATTTCAATTCCAAGGAATTCCATGAGCAACGGGTTTGCACTGAACATTCGTATGGATTTGAGTACCGCCGGGGAGTGTTCAACTTGGTGGCATGCCGGTCTGTGGTTGGATCTATCATCGAGCCCATGTAGAGTGAGGACCTAATATATGTCAATCATAGTCAATACTTTTACCTGTTTTTCTTTCGAGACTGTACACGCAACGCATGTCAGATTTGGGTTTCATCCCAGTCGGAAATCCCACCTTTTTAAATTTTGAGGGCATCCTAGAATTAGTTGGGAGGACGTCCAGGAAATGGTTAGTCTGGGGCGTCTAGGGCTGTGGCTGACTCGTGCGGTGTTTGAACCATATTTCACAATAGGGAGGGTTCAAAGTTTAATGGCTTCGCCATGCGGCGAAGGGTGAATGAATGAGTGAAATTCAAATTTGGCCGCATTTACATCACTCACACGTGCACAGCGGGGAAATTGACATTTTACCACCTTTGCCGCCAGTGAAAGGTAATTCAGAATGCTCTGGAACGCTATAGGCCTGGTCTGGGATGGTCTAGCCAGGTCCAGATCTGCTTTTGATTGAAATCCTGCTCGAAAGCGTAAAACGTTGACAATGAAACCCTCGACGTGTTGGTCCACGTGATGCCAAATGACCATAATTCAATTTCCCACCCTTCCGGCAACAAGTTCTTTTCTGAAGTCATGTTAGTAAAGCAGGAGGTAGTGAACATGAATAAACACGACTGATGAGTTCATGGTATCATGTTATAAATCGGACTTCTTACTTGGTTCATTTGAGTTATCTCAGTCCGAACACCCTGTGTCACAATATTTGGATGTGCCGCGTGCACTGCTCAAGTCTAACTGTCTACAGCAAATTCACATGATTCAGTCTTGGGATAAGTACGAAGTCTGTCACTATTTCAGATTGAAGATATCCGGGATTCCATCACCTAGCTATAACCAGACACACTCTAGAATTTTCTCAAAGTCATTTGCACAAGAAACAGTCAAAATCTCCTCCGTGATCTGCCTCCTCCAGTGGTTGCGCACGGTGTCCATTCCAGGGCGACGAAACCGCTTCAAGAGGAAGCATATATAGCTTTCTCCCCGTTTCAATATTCCTTTGTCGGCGTCATCATGATCATGGTAGTTGATAATCCCGATCATCCATTCTGTCGTGGATGCCGGTGGGAAGGAATGTGATTGTACGACCAGCTTCTTGAGTGGTGATACCCAGCGGCGACCTGTGGGTCGGGAAAGGAATGTCGACTGCCATTGGCTCTGGTCAACAGAGGCAGGAAGCATGAGCAGTCTGACTTGCACGCCACGCTTCGTGATTGAGAAATCAGAATCGCCACAACCCTCTCCCCACCACGAGATCTGGCGATTCTTGAGCATATCCAGTGCCGTGTCGTTCGTTGTGCGGTAACAGCTAGGCTCCGTTGGACAACCGGAAAGCCCGCCTGCCCACACAAGAATTTGCCATTCCTTGCAGTTCTGAATTAGTTCAACCATGAATCTTTGGAACGCTCGATCTCCTTCTCCATATGCGATTGTCATGCTGATGTTAAAAATACCAATGAGGGAGTAGGCAACATCCTCGATGCGGGTCGTCTTCCTACTCGCAGCCCAGGTCATCTTCTCCCAGGCACGGTTTGGTCCGGGGCGAAAGTTGCACAGGTCATTCAGGGGGATTTTGGTAACTCGAGAAAGAGCAGAGATGACCACCGCGTCGTCCTTGTCGTTTTCATTATCCGTCAGGGATGTCCATCTAGGACCGTAAAACTTCATCCTGAGAGGTGCAAGGAGCTCCTGCAACGTCCAACCACGAAAAAACCATTCGTCAATCCCTAGCGTCTCTAATGAATTCGATTGAGCCAGATGCACGATGCATATATACGCATCGCGGTACCATCTGTACATCGAACGTATGGCTTCATCGAGCTCCGAGCTGCTTTCCTTATTGATGCAGCATGTGTCAGACCATGCGAGACGGCAACCATAGAGCTCCTTCGCTTTTGTGCAAAATTCGTGCAACTTCTCGTAACCTGCCCCTTCGCGCCTTTCCAACTTCAAGTCTTGAAACGTTGGCTCCGACTTGCCCCATCTGTGTGATAAGATGGCATATTTGAGCATGTCGGGGACCAACCTCGACTCTATAGCGGATTTTCTTGACCATCCTTTATGCTTAGATATGTCCTCCTCTGTAATCTTCTCTGGTTCCAGTATCGTAAGAAGTTCTTCCCGCGAGACCAATTTCATCTTTGGGATGTAAATCAGATGTGACGGAACCTGATCAAAAACACGTCGTCTGAATTCGTTCATTACATCAGGAACGCCACAGAGAGAATTATGCTGATATCCAAGTCAACTTGTGCACGAACATAGATTCGATAAACGAACTTGCCTCGGAGACTGTAGCTTCCACGGTCTGCAGTATTCCGGGTATGCAACGCGGCGGGAACTCTTCGTGTACAACGGCTAGGATCTGATCTGCAGAAGGGCGATCCGCAGGCCGAAGCGAGAAGCATCGCCGGAGGAAAGATAGATCTTTATCACTGATTCCTTCAGGGAATGGCGGCACTTGGCTGTCACGCAAACGAGCCTTTACAGTGTTATCTGGGGCTTTCTGCCAGGGCTCCTGTCCAGAAAGAACCTAAAAAATGGTATTGAATACGGTGATGCCATCGTCGATGAAGGGTATCAGTACATGTATCATGTTGCAACCGAAAGACCACACATCACTTTGAGACGTCGGAAGTCCGCTAGAGCTGTTGATCATTAACTCGGGAGCTGTCCAGGGAACATCACCCAGACGGGTCTCGTCAGATCCTGATTCCGCGATCTCATTGAGCATCGTGGAAAGCCCGCTACCCTTTACAAAGGCACGACCATTCGAGTCTACCAATATGTTATGCTGATGTTGGCACATTGGAGATCAGTGCTCGCCTGTTAAATTTTCGATGAGAACTTACACCGCTTAGATTTCCATGAACCACTGCGCACGAATGCACTAGCAAAAAACCTGTGAGAATGCTCACTATCGTAGACAAGCAGACATACAATACTGTAGCGCTGATGCAATATCTTGCAACTAACCAACTTTGGTTTTAGATATGGTGAAATCGTAAGCTAAATCACCCACCAGGCGAAATCGCTCATGGCGCGTCAGGATATTGTGATGTCTAGTTAATAATTGGATCAAGTTTCCATTGCCGATCCAAGGTGATACAAGGCCAGGTAAAGGGCCGTATCCGTAAATGAGCCCGAGTAAAGGCAAAATATGTTCGCTTTGAAGTCGCCCCCATACTTTGATTTCTTGTCTCCATTCCTCGCTTTTAATGCTGAGTGAGGCAAGGTCGGAGTCATGCCGAACCTTGACGACCTGAACCGCAACCTGGTAGTGTTTAGAATTATCAGCTGACGTCGATTGTCAACTAGGGGAAACCTACTGGAGAAGATTCAGAAGGCGAATTCCAGCTGCACTTGAAGATTGTCGCATAGCCGCCCACTGCAGCCGGTGTGTCTGAGTCTTTGATTATTTGATCAGTGAGATCGGGGATGCAACTAAAGCACAGATTCAGCAAGATGAAAGCTACAATTCACAAGAAAATCCGCACATAGGAGTTTCGAATACTGACATGACTACTTCTTGCAAGTTGGATGGCTGTTGCTAAGGTGCGAGTCAAGCGTCAAATATGTGTACCTTGGTGCTTGGCAGTAACCGAAAGTTATTTCCCACCGTCTCTAAACTCTTGGCATGAGTGGGCGCTTGTACTTCTGACCTTGTGCTCTTTGGCGTCTACGTGTAGAATGTGAGCGCGCTAAACACACACTTAGCTCCGCTACTGACATCGAGCCTCGTCGAACACCTACCTTTATGACGGGATCGATTTCCACGTGTTGAGTTTGAGGTCCTTCTGCAGCGATATTTGAGTCTATCGAGTGTTTGATCATGTCAAATAGGTGCTTCGCAATGCCGATTCGACGCCCGTTGAGTTCAGAGTCACAATTGAGATTGAAATATAGGAAGAATGAAAATATTGACCGTTGGCGAGTATGTGGCATCATTTGATTACTATTTCGCGGCAGCTGATATCAAGTCAACTTTTTTCCACTAATAGTACACAGGCATTGAATAAGATTGTGCTGTCGACTGATTATCGCTCGCACATGTCAATGGCAGCCCATTCAAGAGGTGTCGTACAAGAGGCTCCGATCAGAAAGACACGAGGATCCTTCCTTGTTTTAGTACAGAACGATAAGGTGAAAAAGCTCACACTCACATTGGACTGTTTCACGTGTCATTTCCATGACACCAGCATAGAGGTGTTCTCTTTTCATCTTCTCTTTGAGGATACGAGCCGGAAGTGTATCCTCATTACGACCTGCAGCGCGAATGGCTTCCTTGTCTTGTTCTGTCATCTCAGCCCGCAAACGTAGCTGATTCTGCTTATCAGCTCGAATATGCAAATTGATATACCTGTGCAACGCAAATGTAAGAAGCTCCGCTCGCTGAGGATGAGGACGAAGAACATACTCTAGACATGTCACAGTGCTCATGGGTTTGTTGAACTGCGCGCCTGTGACAGCAGAGACACCTGTGAAGGGCTCGCGTTTCCTTGCAATGTTGAGGACACCAGCGGGGATGTGCAACTCAGCAGTCACCGAGTTCCCCGAGTCCTCTGCACAGCTACAGCTAATGAACTCTACGAGTCCTACGGGATCTTTGGCGAAACCTTGTGCGTTATACTTTGCTCGAGCCTCACGCCATATCTGTAGCCGTTTCGGCGTAAGGGGACCTTGCGTGCCCGAGTTCCATGGAGTAATGGCATTGACTTGCAACATCCCTTGAAGCTTCTCTCCGACAACCTTGTCGTTGAAATACAAACCAGCAAAGTCAAGAACGTCACTAGGTTCCATTGCAATGTCAACACGTGCCATGAATGGCACATCAAATCCAATCTGGGAATTCTCGAACAGGCCACAGTCAAAGACGATACCGACTTTGAGGAACCCCATGAGCAAAGGGTTTACACTGAACATTTGTATGAATTTGAGTACCCCCGAGGAGCGTTCAACTTCGTGGCATGCCGGTTTGTGGGTGGACCTATCATCGAGCCCGTGTAGAGTGAGGACCCAATATATTTAATCATAGGTAGAACTCTTACCAATTTTTCTTTTGGCACTGTACACAAGAAGGCACACGACGTACGTCAGCCCTTCAAACTTCAGTTTCATCTCAGTCGGAAATCATACCTCTTTTGAGCAATACCAGACGCTCTTACACTAAAAGCAGATTGCAACACTCGATTAACGGCTGCAACAGTATTCAGATATTTGACCACCACCTTTGCGCATTTCAACGGTTTCTCTAATTTCGTTTGACATTGCGTACATTGTACACTGGAGTTCTTCTGGTTTGCTTTGAGAGATTTAGTGGAAGCTGCTAGGGCGCGGAAATAATCATCCCTCTCTGGATGAATCGCGTGTTCGATATAGACGGTCCGTGGAGTCGAGGAGAGGTTGTTCGTGTTAGCACTCATGTTCTCGCGAATGCGATGGGTGGGTGTTAAGCGCTAATAGCAGTGAGTTCACCGGCGCAAAGTGACGACGTATCACGAGCATCCTACTTGGAGCTTGGCGCACCGGTGGCATCAGGTCCCAGATCATAATGTCAGACCAGCTATAACCATTTTGGATCTGTCGAGCGTAGCGCTCAGGTGCGGGAATTCTGAGACCAAGTGTCTGCAGCAAATTCACACGATTCAATTATGACACCGTTGAAAAGGTTTCATTTTATCTCGAACGGCGAGCACTCTTTTACTGTAATAATGTATGATGAGTCCCGTAACTCCGCGTTGCAAGTCATGCACTTGTGAAAGCTTCGTTAACACAGAACGGTTAGCAATAGTAAGGTTTATTCTTGCTGCTCACGGAGCTTCCTTTGACCCGAATGATGGCACAATCAATTCTCGAGCGCTAAACGACACTCAAGCCTCAGGCCTCAGGGCCTGACTTCTTCAGTGCACGATTTTCAGCTTTAAGCTTCAAGACTCGCAGCATGTGGTTGAACAGTGTTCGGGACTTCATCCTCAATTATTCCTGGCTATCAACACCTATCATTGCGGCAATTGGATGGTGCCAGACCTGGGTTATCGCTTCTATTTTTCTGTCCATGGGAAAATCGAACGAGGTTGTTGAGGCCATTGAAGAGTCACGACTGCAGAGTTCCTTCGTGAGATACTATAACGAAGCCAGAGAAGACCCAGGTCACTCGGAAACATCCACTTGTAATTATGTTGCAGAGCAAAGGTATACGGGTAAGTGGTTGCATCTATGGAGTTCCGGTTCGAGGCGTTCAAGCTGATAGTGCCCTATTGGACTCAGGTCTAGCAAAGCGTACGGTACTTGCTGCATGGCTTGCAGACCGTTCCACCGCTACTCCCAAAAAGGCCGTCGGTGTGATGTCGATGGACCCTGGACTCAGCACGCAACTTTTTGACCTCTATCACTCCGTCTGCAATGCAGGCTACCTTGCATACCTGTCATTCCTCATTCAAATTACCGGCTCTCTCTACGGTATCGTGACAGTCTCGATCATTTGGGCAGATGATGCACGTCTCAGAGAGGAAGCTTATGGCGTTCAACTGCAGCAACAACTTGCCGCACTCACTATCAACCGCGGGATGTGGTCCATTGCAGCTCTTGGAGCATTCTCCCCGTGGGCACCTCTTCACGCTCTCTATGTGACGACGGCTATTGCTGTTGCACTGGAATTCCTCTTCGCTGTCAGGGGATTCCTCATTGGTTGGCATATGAGCGTGCTTCCTGGTATCCTCCGTTTCTTTGTTGTCTTTTCGTGGTTGCTTCCTAGCGCAGAGGCGCTGACACTAATATTTGGTATGTTTTTGAGCTTCTCGTTTGTCAGTTCTGCATTCACACGTATCTCCTACAGGCCTTATCGCAATGAAGATGGAGGTTTCATTCATCTCCGCCAAGGTGATCATCTTTGGGCTCCCGGCACTGTGGTTAATGATCGGGCCGTTGCTTATCATCGGAGCATCGTTGGGATCGCACTTTGGCATGTTGAATTGTCTTGTTGTCAATTCTAGCTTGTGCGCCACAGCTTGAGCGAAGAGGCGTGCAGTCAGGCAGTTATCGGAAGGAGCATGTGTCTTGCCATTTCTTGTCCTGCTTTACGTCCTGGTATGATTTTCTTGCCATCTGCGTGTATGTTTCTCACCTGTATCGTGCAAGGTTTTATCTTTGAAGTTCATGATATTCATGCGACACTACTTCCACTTTCAATCATCCACATCACTCGATTTGCAAGAGGTTACAGCCACATCATACCCCCTTTACATAAAGCAAGTGAACGAACAAAATAGAGATGATAACAAACTTCTCCTCGAGTTGGCTGTTTGTTGTAAGGGTTGTATTGCAACCGGTGTATACCAGGTTTCTGTGGCACCCGGTCTATAGATAGTGATATCCGACTCTTGGGGATTCTTGCACGCCACGTGTTGTGATCAAGGGTGAGTGCGCCATGAAGTCCTTTGATGGCAAAACCGCAATTTTACAGGCAACTACTCTGACGCTGGCCGGTTACGTGTTTCGCAGCGGACATATTTCAGACTTCGTCGTGCCATGCTACCACAGTATGAATATTCCCATCTTCAGGTCGAACGTCAAATGCTTTGTAAAGCCGGGTCATGTAACAACGAAAGAAGGTCACCACCAAGATCAGCTCATCTGGCTCAATATTGACCTATCAAATTATCAGATCAATGTGCCAAACTCTTGTCTGGTCTCTCATTTCCATATATTGGGAGCATCTACTAACACATATAAGCACGAACAGCTGGCGGCTCAGCATCAATTGTGCCATCCACGAGCTATCACCTGCAAGCTGCTCTTCCATTTTATTTCCACGTCATCTAGTATCAGTCGTACATGGCTACCACCTGCACATTCCATGGTTGAGTCGGTGTTCAAAATGCGTCGAGGTATCAACATGAAAGCAAACATCATTAGAAATATGATGGTTACATCGCTTTGCCTGACAGTGACTTAGCCATCGTCGATTTTACCTTTGGAGCTTATACAGCCTCCGTCGAGGATGGCATTTATCTCATGCATTCTCACGCCGATTTACACCCGGTACACTAATGAGTGAGTTAAGGTAGAGAGTCACGAACAGTGTTGTTCACCGCTACTTACTGCGTAATAGTTTGGCAGGAGATCGATAAACGATTTTAATTGGCTGATTATGCCTACTTTAAGAATGGACATTATGTAATCATGTCACACTTACTGTCTTCAAAACGTCAAGTTGAACTTGCCAGATCTTTGCGCATTTCTAGTGCATGATTTGGTCTGCGGCAATTATTCTGATGCTGAACTCGGGTTGACTTTATAACTAGCAGGAAACTTTGCTTGGTGATTGATACCACGAGCAAGACTATGACGGAAAGACGCCTAGAACCAATATGGGCGGCCTGGGTAGCCTATCATCATGATGTGGAGCTTGCTATTACGAACAGGGCAGGGTGCCCTTATGGCGGTCCATGTGGCACTGATGTCGGAATTACTGATATTCTCCCACCAGACCTGAAACACGCGTCCGCCATGAGGGTGCACCGTGACCATCAATGTTTGACTCACCGCTTTTCACCACAACATGAGTACTGGCTCAGGCGACCCCTCTGCAACACCAAACGTTGTCCGTGTGGTACATGCGACACATCCAGACCGGGACACTTTTTTCCATGCTGAAGCAGTTTCGAGAAAATTCCTCAAAGCGAACCAGAAGTATGTCGGCGTAGAATGTACGCAGTGCCGAATGAGATTGGACAAACCTTTGAAATGCGCAAAGGTGATACATTATTCATACTGTTGCAGACGTTCATTTAATCTCACAAAACTTTAGTGTAAGAGTGTCTGGTATTGCTCGAAAGAGGTAATACTTGTGGATGAAGGAAAAATATGAAAGGCTGACGTCGCATGACTTCTCGCGTAGTGCCAAAAGAAAAATTGGTGAGAGCGCTGTCCGATTAATACAGACCCATGGGACCTCACTCCACATGGACTCGGTGATAGGTCCAAGCACAAACCAACATGCCATGAAGATGAACGCTCCTCTGGGCTACTCAAACTTGTACAAATGATCATCACAAATCCAGTGATTTTGGGCTACCTCAAACTCGGTGTCATCTTTGCCTGTGGCCTGCTCGACGATCCCCAAATCGGGTTCGATACGCCGTTCATGGCACGTGTTGAAATTGCTATCGAGCCAAGTGACATTCTTGACTTTGCTGGATTGTATTTTAACGACAGAACTACTGGCGAGAAGCTTCAAGGAATGGTACAACTTAATGCAATTACTACGTGGAACCACAGTATGCAAACTCCACTTACGCCAAAGCGACTCAGCATGTGGCATGAAGCTCGTGCAAGGCTTAATGCAGAGGGTTTCGCCAAAGATCCTGTTGGCCTTATAGAGTTTTTCGGATGTAGTCCTGCAGACACAGGGAACTCAATTACCGCTGAGTTCCACATCCCCGCTATCATGCTTGCCGTCGCAAGGATTCGTAAACCCTTTGAATACATCTCTGCTATCACGGGCACTCTAATCGAGCAACCCCTGAGCGCTGTAGCATGTCTAGAGTAGGCTCTCTGTTCCGTTACTCTAAGCAATGGATCTGCTTACGATCACTTTAAATAGGCGTGTCAACTTGCATATTCGAGCTGATAAGGAGAATCAGTTGCGTTTGCGTTCTGAGATGACAGAACAAGACAAGGAAGCTATTCGTGCTGCAGGCCGCAATGAGGACGCACTTTCCTCTCATATTCTCAAAGAGAAGATGGGAAGAGAACGTCTTTATGCTGAATTGGTATGAATGTGAGTGTCCATTTTCGGCGATTTCTCTTTCTGAATTTTGTACCAAGCGAAGGGAAATACTGATACGAGTCATCAGTAGACATTCTCTCCTCCGCCTGCGATTCAAGTTACCCTTGGACTATGCTTCATAACATTGACAGGGCCTTACTACTCAGGTTGAATTTTGTATCTTGTAACTCTCTGATCGAGGTCTTGTGTATAATGTTCTTTATCACATGATTCAACGCGGCCTTACTGTTAGAGTTCATAAGAAGACGGGAGTCGCCTGTGGATCATGTGAACAGCCGACTCCTGAGAAAATAGGTACGCTCATAACCAGTCCTTCGTGAGCCTTGGCGCTCAACTTGCCACGACATCCATCTCTCACCGCCTTTCCGAGAACATGGAGACTGACTCTGGCGCCTCCTCTGCAGCTTCAAAGGGTGTCCGCATGGTCCATGCGATATATCCAGAGCGGGACAGTCTTTTTCGTTCTATAGCAGTTTCGAGCGAAGTCCTCAAAGCGAATAAGAAGTATTTCGGCGTACAATGTACGCAATGTGGGACAGAAATGAAGAAACTTTTGAAATGCGCAAAGGTGATGATCGATTATCTGGTTTATGCTGTTGCAGGCGTTCATTGAATGTCGCAAATCGCCTTTAGTGTAAGAGCGTCTGGTATTGCTCAAAGGAGGTATGACTTGCAACTGAGACGTAGAAATACGAAGAACTGACTTTTTGTCTAGTGTCAAAAGAAAAATTGGTGAAAGTGCAGCCTATGATTGTCAGATTGACACAGACTGGGATCTCACTCCACTCGATGATAGGTCCACCCATAAACCGACATGCCGCGCAGATGAGCGCTCCTCTGGGCTCTACAAACTCGTACGAATGTTCAGTGTGAATCCAGTGCTCATGGGGTATCTCAAGTGCGGGATCGTCTTTGAGTGCGGCCTACTTGGCAATCCCCGGATCGGATTTGACACGCCGTTCTTGGCGCGCGTTGAAATCGCCATCGAGCCGAGTGATCCTCTCAATTTTGGTGGATTGTATGTCAACGACCCGACTGTAGAGGAAAAGCTTGAAGGGATGTTACAAGTCAATGCTATCACTCCGTGGCCGAGCCCAAGCATGCAAGCTCGGCTTACACCAAAACGACTCAACACATGGCGTGAAGCTCGAGCAAGGTATAATGCAGAGGGTTTCGCCGAAGATCCTGTTGGACTCGTAGAGTTCATTGGTCATAGGTGTACTGACGACTCAACGAACTCAATGACCGCTGAGTTGCACATCCCCAAGATGACTCTTCTCGGCGCGATGACACGCGCCCCTTTCACGTTTGTCTCTGCTATTACGGGCATTCACAAGAAACCCTTGAGCGCTGCGTCGTGCCTAGAGTTGGTGCTCCGTTCTTATACTTATATTGCACTTCAGTACCTTACGATTACCGTGCATAGGTTCATCAACTCGCACATTCGGGCGGATAAACAAAATCAGTTGTTTTTGCGGACTGAGATGACAGAGCAAGACAAGGAAGTTATCCGTGCTGCAGGTCGCAACGAGGACACGTTTTCCGTTCGTATTCTCAAAGAGAAGATGGAGAGAGAACAACTTTATGCTGGTTTCTTGCAATTGACAAGACCAGTAGTTACCTGTGAGTGTCCACATTTCCGACGATGTCCCGATCGTCTTTCTGAATTTGCACGAATAGAAGGAAAATACTATTACGAGTCATTACGCAAGTTAGCCTTGTACCATTAAATGCTTAGTATCGCGCCGATGCCTTACTCAGGTTAGATCCGATATTATGTATGACGTCTTTTGAAATTGGCCGCGTAATTAATTCATATAATTGCCAGTGCAATCGTGGTCCTTTGGCATTAATTACGATGGGTGGATGAGTAGTAAGGATCCCGTCTTTGGACTAGGTCAAAGATACGTCCTATTGGGTGATTTCAAAAGGATCAAATGTGCAACAGCTGCATCAGGGTTGTTGTGTTCATCTAGCTTGATCTTGATGTTCTAAACCTTCTTAGCGAGCTCAACTGTGCTGAACTTTGTACTGCGGCTGGGGGACAGGCATAAAGGTACGAGATTTATTTTTATCCTTCCGAGTGGGAGGTTAGCGCGTTGTTCAATATTGCAAATTGAGCGATACCTGCGATTGGGGCTAGTTTTGCAAAACTTTGATACGACTACAAAGTTTCACATGACTAATCACTTCTGTCGCGCCTAGTCACGATAACGGGGATTGATCGTAGCCTGAAGGATGGACAATATGGAGTCACTTGGAGAGTACCCACAGCTTCGCGGAGGCGAAATATCTCCGAACCTCGTGGGACTGACCGTGTAATCCTGATACATGCATGATTTCAAGTGAAGCTGATATTTCTGCGTCGTCTGTGATGCTGCGATGGCGGAATAACCGAGAGCGTGGATATGGGAGGAAGGCCCCATGGGGGGCTCATCGAGTCATCGATCATCGACATTTTGTGGGGTACACGGTTGAGTAGTAGAGCATTCATTTCATTTAGTCATCCTTACGATAAGTTGAGGTACGCGAGTGAGGCGATTTAGATGATGAGAATTAAATTGGAGAAACGCACAGTCCTTGTGAATAGGGCTGTGCGTACAGCAGCGCTACTGTAATCGATGGAAAGACGTGGAATTGCGACGAGTTCGGATTTAGTCAGCTTACGCAGTATAGTGCCGAATCGGCACCGGGTAATTCCGTGGTGTACTAGTAACACGCCTCCTCAACGAAGGGAGATAACACCACTCGACCACATCGACCAATATGTTGACCGATTCGATAACACCCTCATTCTCAACAGTAGACGACTTTTTCAACCTCGACGTACTAAACTCAGCTCCTTCAGCTTTTACAGCTTCGTCTTCATCTTCATCACCACGAAGCCCTTTCACTTTCTCAGCTACAAATGGCGCAGACGACGATTTCTTCGCCCAATTCCTAGACACTGATGAGTTAACAAAGGGTCCATCTCTATCATCACTCTCAGTCCCTTCATATGACTTTTTTGGCGCACCCGAAGCTACCGCCAGTACAAGTGGCTCAAGTCCTGAGAGCATCGACGCAAACACTCCCATGTTCGCAATAGATCCACAACTAGTCGGAACTCCTGCTACTTCAAACGACCATTCAGATCAAGACTCTAACTCTGACCAGGAACTAGAGCTAGAGCTAGAGCCAGAGCTCGCTCCGCCTAAACGTTCTCGCCGCGGTGCTGTTGCTTCTGGTGGCATAAAGAAGTCATATCCTCCTTCTGAGAAGGACTTGAACTCGGGCGCGGGAAAATCAAAGTCCTCAAAGGACCCTGCCCCCCTCAAGATCCTAGAACCCGAAGATTGGCGCCCAAGTCCTGAAGAATACAAGAAGATGAGCAGCAGAGAGAAACGCCAGCTCCGAAACAAGATCAGCGCACGAAACTTCCGAGTAAGGCGAAAGGGTCGGTATCCCTTCTATATTCCTTCCCTTTCTTACTTACACCTCAAAACAGAATACATCACAACTCTTGAAGGTGACATCGCAGAACGGGACCGCTTAATCGACGCAATCCGCTCAGAACTCGGCAGCTCCCGCTCAGAAAACACTGCTCTCCGCCAAGAAATATCAGCCCTCAAGCGCTGCCTTCTCGAATCTCGTCATGCCCCCGACCTCCCACCCCCAGCAGAACTCCAAATCGGCGCACCCCTCTCCCCACCCGGCACACCTGTGTCCGTCCCATCAACAACTCCACTCATCACCCCCAACACCCAAAAGGACCTCCCTACGTCTCCACGTCTGGGCGCAAGGCCGTTTTGGGGTGGATTTGGTGGTATGGGCGTTACACCTGTACACACGACCCTCATCCCACCCGTCGGGGTCAAAGCCGTCCTTCAAGAGAACATCAATCCTGCATTACACCGCCCAAGCTCAATCGTCGAGAAGACGAACAGCCAACTCAATGGCCTTGGTATGGGCATGGGAATGGGCATAGGCGCATTCGATGCCTTTGCGGATACGAATCCATTCACACTCAAGACCCTCGATGCATATCGGATGCAATTATGGGGGAAGATGGCTGCGCAGCATGCTCATGCCAACGGGAACGCAAATGGGATGGGGTATACACCGCATGGATTGGCATCGGGCCTCAAACCTGCGTATTTCGCATCACCGAAATCGCAACCACAAGCACTCGCTGGGAAGAACGCGTATCCTTCGCCGCCTCCGTCCCCTGTACTCAAATCAGCGCCGGTACCTACGAGGGAACAGGCTGCGCTTGCTGCTATTGCATCGCAGACCCTACTTGGGAAGCTTGGAAGCGCGTTTTGGGATGCATTTTCTGGGTCTGGGTCTGCTGCGGGTTCTGGTATAAGTGGAAGTGGAAGTGTGATGAGAAAGGAGTGGGATGCAGAAAAAGTACGCAAGGTCCTCGAAGGTCGGGCAGTCGTCCGAGTCGTTGATCTTGATGAGCCCGTTCTCAACAAACCCTCTCCCCCTTCCTTGATGGTGCCTTTGAGTACGGTGGAAAGGAAGCCGTCGTTACCTCTGGGTATGGCGGAGAAGACACAGTCGAGTGGGAGTGGGACTGGACCGAGTTCGTGTGCGTACAAGACGAATGTGTGCGATATTTTGGAGGAGAGTATGAGGAGTTTGACGATTTCGAAGAAGTAGAAGCAGGCAGGTCTGGCTTCTGTCTATGCCCTCTCCCATGTCCTCTCCTGGTTCCTTCATCGTCTGCCGTGCTTTACTCCCAGCCAACGGTTTGCTTCCCTTCCCTTTTGTGTCGACTTGCAATGACAGCATCATATCCAAATACTTTCCTCGTCCTTCATAATCTAATCCAACCCCCGCTCCGCCTTCGCTCATTCGTCCTGCGCCTTCTGTGGCTTGATCATCTGATGATTATTTTCCTGCCGCTGTTATCGAATTTTGCTTCAACGGCTATTTCCGAACGTTTCGAAATCTTCCAACAACCAACGAATTGAATTGTTTCATCTTTAAATGATCCAACGAATTGTTCGTCTCCCCTACGTCTGTTTCAGTTTATATATTTGCTGTGTGGGGATGCTCGTCGGATCACGGTCTTTTTCTCCCCCCTGCCCCTTTTCTCATCTCCGTCTTGCGCTCTCCCTGTTCCGATCGTATCGTGCATCCCACCGCCACCGCTTCATACTTACCCCGTCCAAATAGTAGTCTTTCATATAGCTTGTTTGTTGTTCGTTTTTGTACGCACGAGATGTGAATGAAATTGGAATATTATTATAAATCGGATCTCGCTACAATATGAGTTGCTCAGAGTCAAGTAGAGTATCGGGGGCTGTTGTGCGTTTCATCCCCATCCCGGTAGGCTGGCTTGTCGAGATCACTCTTGTCAATGATCCGCAATACAACTTTAGATCTCGTTGTAGATTATATCGACAATGTTATGTTGGATCTTAGGAGATGCCCCAGACGAACCTTTTCTGTCAAACAATCAAATATTGGGATCACATTCTGTCTAATAGGTGTTTCGAGAATGTCAACTTGTGAGTAATAGGACGCGATCCAAGTGGTATTTCCCTATATTCCCAATGTTTCTTCCCTACGGAGTCAAGGCATGGGAGGATCAAGAACAATGACACACATCCCTCGTTCTGCAAAATATTGTGTTAGGCATTTAAAATTCCTGTAGTATTCGCCCCGGAATAAGAGGATTGCATCTATGATGTACCCACGGAAGAGGGGCTCGAATGATGAGATAGTCGGTGATATGCCGCCGAGTCTGGAGTCTCCCATTAGTATCGTGGGGAGGAAGAGGGAGGGCGGTAGGTGTTTAGTTGGGTTGTTCCTGAAAGCGTTGGGCTGTGGATGCCTGAGTAAATCCATTAGCAGGAAGTATTGTAACTTGACGAGACGCTTTGAAGTAGTGCTCACCTCCAGCAGTCTCTAAATACATACTATGACCCAGTCCACTGGCGACCCTAGACCACTTTTTAACATACTCTGCAATAGACACAACAAGCGTTTCATCCGAAGGCGCAGAAACCTTCAAGTTGTTCCAAGTTCCAACATCAGCTCATCACAGGCCACATCAACAACCACATACTGTGGGTCCACCTTGTGTCTAAAAAGCCATCTTAATAGCAAGATGCGAACCAACGGGGTCTCTATAGCGGAACAAGCGATGAGCGTTCACCAGATGCATTTGCGGCCTTGCATTTCATTTGGTTGTTCCCCAGCCTGCCCAGGCCCTGCAGTACGCACAGACGGTAAGCAACGGTTCCTGCATCGGCAAGATTCAAAAGGCAATTCTGTTGATGCAGAATAAGGCAAAAGTCAAAAGACGGGATAAGTGGCAAGCCCGACTACTCCTTTGAGTTACTAGACAAAACAGGATGATCAGTACGGGCTTTGAGATTATAGCACGATGCATTAAGACACAATGTGTAGATACATCACTGTCTGTGCAATTTGAGAGTAGAGAAAACATAATCTTGATATATATGCAAGGATAACCAGCAGTTCCGATTGAGTGTATTATTCAAGGTGGGCAGAGAGACAAATGAAGTTCGTGCTATTAATGTGGTTTGCATTACATAAAAACATGACAAGTTGTGGACGGACCGTGGTGATACCGTATAGCAATCGTGCATAAAGTCAGCCAATGAGAGTCTGGTTACTTTAGCAGTTGGGTGTTGCCAGATGGGGATCTTGATAGACTGTGGATTCAGATCTCGCCACAGCAAATTCTGCCATTGACATCGTGACCATCGTCGATTCCGCTTCACGGCGGTCAGCTTTCCAAAGATCGAGTTGCATGCGTGTTGCAAGCAACCCCTGGAAGAGAATCTGTGCTCTGTGTAGTCGTCAGTGCAAGCTCGATCCAATGATTATCATCCTCACATTTCCATGATGCCAGTAGGCCATGTCGCAATCGGAATGAGCAAGATCCCAACAATATTGAGGATGTTCAGAGCTTTTCGAATGTTATTCATTTCATCAGGAAAGGAGTATACCGCGCACGCACCCACGCTGGCTCCGAAATACACGATATTGTTCCGCACTAACGATTTGAGTAGCTGTCCTGAAGCGGCGCGGTATTGGCTTAGAACACGATACATGCTCATCCCAAATAATCCTTTGATTTTATGACAGTAGGATAAGCTGTTAGCTCAACGCAGTGCTCGAGGAAATGCTACCGACCTATTTCCAGACTAATCAACGCCGCAAAGCTCGTAAGGAGCCATGATGCGCCTGGGTTGGCTGGTCCATAACATGCATCTGTATAACAGTGAGGGAGCAAATGATAAAATGAGAGTTTTGACCTGCCGGCAGGGAGAGCCCCAGTGTATATTTGGAGGGAGCTGATACCTATGACACACGTAGTCTGGCCGCGCCGTCAACAGTGGTAAGGCTGAATAGCTCGAGATTTCACCAGATACGCAGCTAAGAGATAGAAAAGGACTCGTTTACTGCAGCCCCACAGAGCATAGGCTCGCAAAATGAAAAGAACTAAACTTGAGTTTAGTGGCCCATCGACAAACCAGCATGAAGCAGCGTACATTCGACACAAGCCATCTGCAGAAAAGAGATCCCTATGCTGCATGTGAGATGGCTTCTACCAGTCACAGATTTGACGTACAGATGCTTGTGCGACATAACACCAAGCACAACTAAACAACGATCAGCGAAGGAGAAAATTGGGTTGCGATTCAATACATTGGCGTCGATATAATCTTCCCCGACGACGTCATCTAGAGTGAGGTATGATAAGCTGTCTTTCCTTTTGTTAAACACAAAGATATCAAGGTCTTACACATTCGCAGAGCTCCAATAACGAACGGAAGGTAGCGACACAAGATAAAGATAGTCTTGACGGAAGTGAACCTTGACCTCACGATATAGTCGATCTGTCAAATTGAGATTTGAGAGGCTCGGGGGAAAGTGTTTCTCCTACCTCCTCATCCAGATGGGTGACAACATCATAGAGCTAAACAGTCATTCTTTGGAATCACAACATACGACAGAAGAAGTCAACCGACCACGATCGTGAGTGCCAACACTAAACTATATGTTAGTTCAAATAGTTGCAAGGCGTAAATCAGCTATGAACTCACATAGGATATACTAATTCCAGTCTAAATTGAGTAAGAGATCTGTATGGGGAGGAGCTAACTTACGCCAGCAGTATTATTGATCATATGAAGACTTCTGGCCGGGCGTAGAAGATGACTGTTGACAAACGTAGTGTGGGGGCAGACAATGTATGCTTTATTTTGATGGAGTCCTATATAGGCTGCCTAACAACTGTCGACAGGCGGACGATGGACGGCCGAATGATAGGGTAGAACGTTCAGTGAATCACGGATGATGAACTGTGTATATTCCCCAACCCTGAACTTGTGCATCGCGTGCCGCCATGTCATGAAAAATGTCTGTCAAGACATTGACAGACATAGAAAATGCTTAGAGTAGATGTATGTGCCCATCAGGGCTTTGCGTGTCAAATGCTGCACGGTGAGTGCATTTACTTGTGATCCGACGACAGATGCTGTGAGTGGTTCATTGTTGTAAATGAAATCATCCCCTTAGCGGACTTCCCTTTAGTAGCATATTCCATTCCTTTCGGATAAATTTGACACCTTATCTGTGCAAATGAGGTCGTGAGTTGTAGACCAGAGAATTCAGACGAAGAGCGCAGGACTGACCTTGAACGCTGTAGTCCGTGGATTGTGACGAGATGCACCTTAACAATTATTCAGGGTAATCATGACTCGAGATGACAATCGAGGTCCAGCTTGACTCAACAGGATAATGAGAACATCATTGTATTTTCGTAATAGAAAGACGAGATGACTGATCTGGTGGCAGGAGCTGGCAGGAGGAACTAGCTGGCCCTGCTTCCGTCGGACGGCAGCCGGGCTCTTACATAATCTGAACTCTTCACTGCTCAGTTCGACACCTCGATACACTTAACTTCCGCAGAACTCAAAAAACATGGTGAGGTTATCCCAACGTGCATGTTACCTTACACTGAAATGCATTTAGGGAGGTGGTGCTAGATATCCATACCCAAAGCATGTGTGGTCCCCCGCTGGTATGTCCAAGCGGCTAGTTCCGAGCTATTCAACCTGATGACGCCCCAGGTGGTTGGTGGGCCCGTCCTGCGAATTGGCGGAGTAACACTGTCATAACTTTTGCTGGTATGTTTGCCATTGCATACGGAGTCTGGACTGTTAGCGCAGACCGTGAGGTGCGGAACTTGATCTCTCGTTTCTTGCAGTCGTGCTTATTCCGTGTTGCTTGAGCAGATCAGACACGTTCAACCCGACCGACCGATCCCGTCCATGATGGTAATTTCTCCCACCTCGTGTGCTCCTGGTTTTTCTCACCATTTTGTAGTGGGCAAAACAGTACAAGGACCAGTCTCGGGAGAACTGAGACGGGTAGCTGGGTATATGCTTAAATAGTCTTGTCTCAGTCAGTTATATCCTTCATCATATATCAATATTTTGCCACCTCTGCATGAGTCTCAATTTTCGGACTGTTGACTGAATGTTTAGGGAGAGCATGAGACACTCCAGAGTAATGCTGAAAGGGTAGGTTCCTCGTATCCCAGAACCAGAACCAGAACCAGAATGCCATTGTACATATCGACACATGCCAGAATCGTTATGATGTTACTAGTACGAGCAGAAGATATGCCAGATTATATATAAAGTCCCTATGTACCTATAACGAATAACCCAATCAACCGACGTGAGCAATACTTCATAATTCAGCTTCGTCGGGCCCAAAAGGATCCCAGTCACTTGGTTTTTCTTCCGCTGCAGGATCGTCGTCGTCGTCGTCCTCAAATTCATCGGCCTCTTCTTCCTTCTTGTCGTCCGCGCCGTCCCAGTCATTCGGAGTTTTCTTCACCTTCTTCGCCAACTCGAGCATTCGTTTGTTTGCATAATCAACACGACGCTTCCTTGATGGCGAGGCGGGGAATGGAGTAATAGCTGAAGAGGCGGAGGATGAATAGGTGAGGGAGAACATTGATGAAGATAGCGATGAGGGCGACGAAAAACCGATGGAGGAGCACATGGGAAGAGTCAACGATGACTGCGAAAATTTGTAAGTATATTTGCATGTCAGGGCACAGAAAGGAACATACGACATCAGGGTCAACTTCCCCTTCTGCATCAATATCCAGAACCTCTTCCCCTACACCACGTTCTAGGCGCTCCTGCTCTTCCTCAGCCTTCAAGAATCTTTCAAACGCTAATATGCCATTCCATCGGGTTACTTCGATACCAGTGAGGATAATGGAAGACGTCGCCGAAGGTGGTGCAAATAGGTCTATGGAACCCCACGCCATGAAGAGGAAAGGCTTATTGCCAACGCCCTTGCGACCTGGGATCTTCTTCGTGTTTAATGTTATGTGAATTTGGGTCGTAGAGTCGTGATGCTATTCGTGAACATAAGATCTGTCCAAGAGCATAGAAAGACGAAAGACGTACATATATGATACCTTTCTCAATGTCCCCGCCCGGAGCCCAGAGCTGCGAAAGCTGGAAGTCCTCTTCCGCTTCCCACCGCCAAATGTCATCTTCGCCATCTTCAGCGTCAAGCAAGCTGCCCTCTGAGCCATTGCCAGGATAATGGTACGGGTCTCTCGTGGTAGATGCTTTGACTGTGGTCATTCCGCTTTTTATCTCCCCAGAACGCGAAATCTCTATATCTTTTTGCACCTCAAACAAGTGTCCTGGCTCCAAATCGAAGCACAGAGCCGGTTGTTTACCCTTGGACGAAGAGGGCACTGAGTGTCTTGCATGTAGTGGGATGCTGGCATGCCGTGCGGCACGTCGAAAACGGTATGATCCGCCCATCTCGCTTTCCTTCGCTGGCTGGAAGACAAACTTGATAAGCTTCCGCAGGTGACCGAGTGTATAGGTCAGAGGGACTTGAACAACTCTGTAGACCCCATCTTTATTTGTGTGGCTTCTGCCGTCACCGTCCGGGCGGATAAGTTGGAAGCGGAGCGGCAAATGCTTCGCATACGAAGAAGGGCGGGGTAGTGTGGTGCTTGTTGTTAGCCGCCGGGCACGACCAAATGGGTTGGTTGGAGAGTCAGAGGGCACCTTCCAGTTTATGAGACTACAAGGGGTTCTGGGTGTTGTATACAATGAAGAAGCTGATGTAAACGGCGACGACGGCGGTAAAGAATGCGATAGTTGTCGACGTTTTGGACCACGGGGTGATGCTGAAGGACTTTCATACACGTCTAACGGTCGTTTAGAGACCATCATTCTCCGCGGAATCAGAGTGATTGGGCAAGTTTGAGGGGCTGGAAGAAGTCGTCGCTTTGATCAATCAAGACCGGAACAATATTTGTCCACGCTTGTCAAACGCGTCGCGTAATTTTCATCAACAGCAACACGATCACGTGATCGACGCGTTTCTAAAAGACCTTCCTCCAACTTACTATTTCACGTTAGTCCCAATATGCTCCTCTTCCAATTCATCCGACGTGACTGTGAATACATTTGCAGAAAAACAGTTTCACCTCTGAGGAGATACAAGGTTATCGACGAGCTCGAACTAGCAAAACACGAAAATCTTAGCTTTTGAATTCGGTAGCGGTGGCGGCGTAGCACACTCAAGAGATCTGCTTTAACGATACTTGGTCCAGCTGCGTTCTACGTCAATATTATCGGCCTCGCTGTCAACAATGATCCAGTAGCCACTGCACCTACGAATGGCAGAAAATTTGAAGCTTGCAGGCTACCGTGTACTTTCAGGGTGTCTTTATTTTTATACTGCTATAGGTGACATTCCGATGTGTATATCCGCTGGCCCTGGCCGGGGGCTTCTGCCGGATGATGGCTGTGTTCTCGCTGCGAAGTTCTGTCATTCACGCTGTATCATCCACTCTGATCAACTATTTGGCCAAACCAATCAGCAGAGTCGCTGATCCGGTGCGTCGCTAGGTAAACTAGAGATTGATCCTGGTGGAGCGTCCTGATTGGCTCTTGTGATCATCAGTGGTATGGTCAATATTGACGACGAAGCACACTTACTTCTGTTGCACCGTTGAGATCCATTCTCTGATAGCTTGACCCAAGTGATACTTGGATTGTCGTCGGCTTCTTTCTTGGCTTTGCCGAAGCTCCCTTCTTCCCCAGGATTGTGTTTCTTGTATCTAAACGGCACAAGCGAGACAAGGTCGTCTCGAGACTAGCTCTCCTTTCTTGTGGAAGTTTTCTCAACTTTGCATTCAGATCCCTGTTTGCATCTGCTATACTCCGCGACATGCAGGACAAATTTGGTCAAGCTACATGAAGGCAGGTGACGATCGCTTCTATAACTGAATGATTTGTAGATGGCTGTTTTACATTGAAGGCGGTATCACCATCTCGGTCGCGGTTTGCGCGATGTTCATACTTCCTGGTTTCCGGCAAAATACCAGGTGGTTCACCCCAGAGGAAAGAGCAATCATAATCTCTCGCCTTGCAGAAGATGGCTATGGTAAGGCTGACGAGCTTGGGAAGCAGACGACCATGGAAGGACAACGAGATGCCGTGTCTGACTGGAAGATGTGGTGGTTTTCGGTCGCGGCAATGTTCCAGGCAGTAGAGTAGTCTTTCTTCACTTACTTCCCAACACACCTGGGTTGCCCAATTAGGGAGCCTTATTATACTTGACGATTACGTGCCTCGGCAACTCTGATTAGGCATGTTTGTGCTAAAACCCAACACCAGCATTAAATGCTGCCCCAAATTACCTGGGGCCTTCACTTATTCAACCTATGTACTATAGCCTAGGGTGGGGCGGGTATTCGGACTCTATCAGTAACTTCCCGCGCCCTTCCCGCCTGCGCCTAGAAGGGTTATCCCCCAAGCCAATGCATTCTCACGCCCCTTGCCCTCTTCCACATTGTCCGCTATCCGGTGCTGCTGCCCTCTGGGTACCTTCTGATCACCCACTGACGCAACCCCACCATATACACAGACGTGCACCTACAAGGGTACCCCGCCATTCTGGTTCGTTCCCATTCTTTCTCAGCGCATGCACCACCGTCCACCATTAGCCTATACATATCCTCAACGCCTGCCATGCCTCGTGGCTCTACCACTTACAAGGTCACTTCACCTTCCTCCCCACATAACCCCACTACTCACACCCACCAAGAGATTGCCGGTCGAAAATACAGCGCGGCATAAACAACTTTGGATCGGTGTGGTTTTGAAGGCGCTTGAAGACCTCGACCCTCCTTTCATGTCCCTCCCACGACGTAAACAACTTTGGATCGGTGTGGTTTTGAAGGCGCTCGAAGACCTCGACCCTCCTTTTATATCCCTCCCACGACGTAAACAACTTTGGATCGGTGTGGTTTTGAAGGCGCTCGAAGACCTCGACCCTCCTTCGAGGGTTCTTCATATCCCTCCTGCGGCGTAAACAATTTTGGATCGGTGTGGTTTATAGTGCTTCTACCATCCGCTTCTCCAACACTAGCTCTGCGCCATCAGTTTGCTCTAGCAGTGGTTTTATTTCAATGTCATCAGTAAATTGTTAAGTTCATGTCATAGGTAGTAAATAACACATGGCGCCTTCATTATATTGAACGTTCCGTGATAGTAAACTGAGCTGGGACTGTATGTATGAGACAATATTTGCAAGATCAAAGAAAAAAACATTAGGTATCACTACAGTGCACAACGACCGCTCCAAACTCAACTGCAAGTAACTAACTCCATCTAGTTGAGCAATGGCCCAGGACCGAAGTCAGGCGCATCGTTGAACTGGAACTCAGGACCATCGAAATTGAACTGGGGATTGAACTGAAACTCGGGGGTATTGAACTGGAA